GGGGGGGGGGAAGGGGGGACTATAATGATCACTAATATTGGCCCATCAAGAATGCGAGCAAGAATGCGAGGTGGGAAAAGCGCAATATAAATGGTGATATCCAGGGGGGGGTTAGATTTAGAAGTAATGAGAAAGTCCAATGCTGGTAGCTTACTTGCCCGTCCACTACAACATAGTGACTGACCAACGAACGTCGTTGACAAGGTGAAACACTTGAGCATCATGATAACATTATCCAAGCCTACTTCTAAACAGAGTAGAAAATACACCAGTTCCAGTTCCCTCATATCTAGATACAATCATAGCTTGCTCTCGGGCACAATAAGAGATGATGCCTGTTTCAGGGTCTCTTCGGCCTCTCGCTCAATTCTCTTGCATAACTCGTCACACGTGGGGATATCATGGATAAGTCCGATAACCTGTCCAGCAGTCCAGACCTATAAATGGTTCAGTACACGAATGGTAAACAAGACGAAGAGTGATGCTTACCCCGTATTCAGGATCGCCGTTGATAAATACTTCTCTTCCTCTCTTGCCACTGACAAACGGCGCAACTTCCTCGAATTTCCCGGTCGTGCTCTCCCGTTCAATTTTCACGGCTTCGTTGGTCACCTTATTCTTATACAGACGGCTCGTGTTCTTCCATCTCCGGAGCACAAGCTGAGTATCCGTCTCCTGCGCCTTGACGATCTCCTTCTTGATATTTAGATGGATGGGCGCTTCGACTGTGCACATAAATCTGGTTCCCATGTTGATACCCTCGGCTCCAAGGGACAGGGCTGCAGCAAGCCCCTGGCCATCTGCGAAGCCTCCAGAGGCAATGAACGGAACTTTCAGGGTTTGCCGAGCCCGACTGAGAAGGATGAAGTTCGTGATATCCGTCTCTCCGACATGGCCCGCACACTCAAAGCCGTCGATACTCAGGAAATCTACGCCAAGCTTTATGGCACTCTGAGCGTGCTTGATGGTGGTGCATTTGTGGAGGATAATAGTGTTGGCAGCCTTCAATTGCTTGATGACCGGGCCGGGACTGTTTCCCGCCGTCTCGACAATCCGAATTCCCTCGTCGATAACCACTTGTGCGTATGCGCCGTAGTCCGGTGGGTTTATGGCAGGGAGAAGAGTGATGTTGACGCCAAACGGCTTGTTGGTCATGGCCTTGCATCTTCGGATTTCCTTTCGTAGATCTTCTGGCGTAGGTTGCGTGAGCGCCGTGAGAATGCCGAGTCCACCAGCGTTACTGACAGCAGATGCAAGCTCTGCGTAGCCTACCCATTGCATTCCACCTTGAACGATGGGCACTGTTGGCAGAGGGAGTCAGCATGCTTTTCACCTATAGCCTGGCAGATGAGGGGTGGACTTGCCCTTGATGCCCAGGGTTCTGGTGAGTTTTGTACTGAACGGCATATTTCCGGACCGTATCACCAAGGAAAAACAGGGGCTATTAAAGGGTCAAGAGAGATAGAAGATCGCGAAAGAAGAAAGACGTTTATATTCTATGATTCTCTTGTGTATATATAGCTCGTGAACGAGGTAAGCTTCCCCTTCCCCACGCACGATTGTACCGAGGCATGGTCGTTACCGAGGATTACTAATACACTACCCCAGGTACGTTAACTCCGCATAACCCGCACAGCTCAATTATTGCCGTAGGTAAGAGTCGAGTTTCCGGGCCTTGATTGCTCCTGTGGTCACGCTCGAAACGAGTCTATATATCTGTAGTAATCATAGGAGTTGGAGGATGAGAACTCGGTTGTCTAGAGCTTTACCTCGGGAATCAAGCTGACCGCGCGCCAATTGGCTGTGCTCATTCGCCTTGCAGCTGGGATGACGACTGAGGGCGCGAGGAATTTCTTGCATCGGGCGCTTGAAGCTTGAAGCTTGGACAGCAAACCAACCGCGCCGGGGAACATTGCTTCAATGGCCCGGTCCCTGGATGTTTCCGCTCTCCTCTGCCGTGCATATGTCATACCAGGCATTGCCAGAGGCTGGCAGCTTTGCAAGACCAGGGGGGCAGTAGGCAAGGCTATTTATTCACAAAGTTCTTGGGCAGCAATGGTCTCACGATGCGCTGGTCTCCCTTCCGAGCAAGGCTGCGTCTGACACACCTCGACGAGGCTGTCGAGGAAATAAATACTTGGCTTCCTGTCAACTTGCCACGAAGACCTTCTCGCCCTTCTAATGGCAAACCCGCTACCACCACTCGGGTGAGTGTCTCGAGGGTCGAGGCCTCATCTCGAGGTACCATGCCGCCCTCAGTGCAGGTGGCTTCCAGGCTCCATCCAGCTCTGCCTCCGAGACATTGAAGTCAGACCACCCGGCAAAGGCAGTCAGAGAGGAAGCCTGCAGTCCTCCCTCTTGCTCTTTGATCCATGGGGAAATAAATGGAGATATAAAAGGGCAGAAATGACCCGATTGGGGTCTACCCCAGCCAGCCGGAGTCTCTGTACGCGCATCCATCCTATACATAGGTACATTGGCGGGTCGGTGAATTTCCCTCCACACATATGTACGTATTTTGTACAGTTCTTTGCAGAGGTCGGTAATCGAGGACCAGAGGTCACGATAGGACTGTCCCAGCAGGACGAGATCCGAGTCGCAGGGCTGATCGATCTCATGTACCGTCTTGCTGTTTCTTCACAGCGCACACCGGTCATCAGTACCTGGGTTCCTCGAGTCAAGGATCTTCCCAGGTGACACTGACAGCTTGATCGCCGTATATCAATGTAGTAGCCACCCGTTCCTGCAGTGTATCTCGATCGAGGCAGTCTCGGCCAACCGCAGTGGCCGAGGGATACGGCAGTGCGAGGAGCAGATCATAGCTAGGTACCTGTCACCGGGACGTAGGGGGTACATCACCTGTCTAGAGGGTCTTAGAAGAAGCTTCTGTTACAGGAGCACAAAGATTTCGGGGACAACCTATTGCATCGTGGAGTGACAGAGGCTCAGACCCCGAGATCCAGACCGTCATGTATGACTGGCATCCGGAAACAGAAGACTCGGTATTCGGTGCCGTCTGGTGGCCATCCCTGTACACCACCAGGAGAGAGAGTTGGGGAATTCCGGGGACCTCTGAAGTTTGAGCGTTCCTCATCACCACGCGTTGCCGTCTTGCTCTCTGGCCTTACTCCGCACTCTGTGCTAGAGACTATCTTACCTAAGGTACCTTACATTCGTCCATGGCACATGACTAAGATCACTCACTAACACAAAAAAGCAAGCAGATCCTGTGCGATAAAGGGCTGTACACCAAACGGAGTGAAACTGCTTATTTATTGTTATTATTATTACTACTTGACCTGTGTACACCAAGAGCGAGGACAAAAGGTACACATGACAAAGGGCATTACGGAGACTCCAGGTATTATCACCTAGTACCTTACCTTACCTGTCTATTCTATTTGCTATCGTATCGCTATTTATCGGTACCTCACCTCATTACAACGGCCTATGCTTCTTGCCTACAGTACCTACCCATCTCCCTACGCACCTGGTTTTGCCCGCATGCAGCTCTGGCTCTTTGCGAGGTTTGGGTACCTTATGTACTGTATTTGTCTATTTATATCCGTTTTTAGATTTCTCCCTTTTTATTCATTCATTATTTCTTTATCGCCCAACAACAACCAGGCCTCGACCCGCCTTTTCCCCTTTCCCTATCATTGCCATCCGCCCTTCTCTCCTCCCCACGTTAGCTTTTGCTCAGCGTCTGCCCAACACCCCCCCCCCCCCCCCCCCCCACCCATCTACCTCTCCCCAATGCACCCCCCCAACGTCGTAAGGGTCTGTAGCGTTGGCTTTGCATCCTCACTAGCCCCTCTTGTCTCAAGCCTCATATTGCTTTTGTACCCCTTCCGCCGTCATTCGGTACGGTCGTACATGAGTTGTCCTATGCATCGATGGAGACAGCACACATTCAGGCCCTCCCTTTACGGATGATCGACATTACTTCTTCGACTGCATTTCTCCATCAGATGCATCATGCCGAAACAGTCTTGGGCTTAGCTGCCGTGTTGCATTGGTTGCAAACGACGCAAATTTTTTCTATCTATTCTCTTGAAGTCAGACTGCCACCTCACCGTGTCCTCGATCTTGTCCTGTCCCGAGTCGATCACCTATAAGAACCCCATCAAGCAGACGATTCCTGCAAAGCATAACGCCGTATCCGCTACCCGCTCCTCTACTGTTCTCCCCACCACCACCGGCTCTACTTAAGCCTCTCGACCTCACCATTCTAGCTCGGAAGACCGCCATCATCATGTCTTATTCTAGCTTTAGCTCCGGTGCTGCAACCTGGCAGGAGAGGCTCGAAGGTAGGTCAGCTATACTCATCTCAACGACCTCTGCTCATGGCAATTAGAAAAGTGCCGCGAAGCACAGATCCACCCTCCAGTCTTCCAAATTGTCTCTGACAGGCGTGGTATGCTTCGATATCCCCTGGGTAGTAGACTGATGTCCATTGACTAATTGGCGTTGAAAGGCGGGCGTACGGCGTGGTCCAGCACTGTTACCGTTCAAGGGCAGCATATCTCGGCTCGATTCTGGTATGACGGACAGTACGTCAACAATGCGAAGGAGGACGCCGCTGAGGTGGCATTAAAGCATCTGAATGGCTCAACTCCCAGTTCTCCTTCACAGAGTAGAACCGGATGGTAGTGCCATCATGGGTTGCAGCCTCGTGAACGACGAAGCCAGCATTGACTCGGTCAATTTGCCTGTAGGATATGAAGGTTTTAAAGGGTTGCCATACGGTATGGCAAGGCATGGATTGGCGCAAAACAAGTGGCTTCTGGCGTCAGGTATTGCTTATGGTATCACAGGACGGCGAGGGCGCTGGGGCTTGTCAGAATATGTTTGGATATGTTCAATTTCTGGGGGTAGAATCGAAAGGCTTAGACTCGATCATCTACTGTTTCCAACAAACCTTGAGCTTCTTGGTACATAGTTTCAACAAAACAAGCCCCGTACGATGCTTCGTTGATACGCAGGCCATCGTGTTTTTGTTCCGACGAGGCTATAGCAAACGTGGAGACAAGTAAAGGGAAGGATACAGACCTCGAAAGTACCTATAGTTGAAGGTCGTACAAGGATCCCGATATCCCGGCTACTATCCCCGATCTACAAGTCTAAAAGGCCACCCCCATACCTTACCTTACTCTTACAAGAAAGTCCTACCCTCTCCGAGGAACCTAGCGACAGCCTCGTCACGTGCGCAAAATACGGCTACTGTAGCGAATTTCGAACTTCCATCAGCTCTAGCGAAGGAGAGTAACATATTTTCAACACCACCCATCATGCCTCCACGACTGATCTTCTTTCGTGCGTGCCGGTCGCTGGCGGTACGCACACGGTCTTCAATTACCCCGAGCCAGCCCAGGATCCTCCAAGTGGCATCGCGCAGAGGCTTCGCGGACGAGAAAAGCCCCAAACCCGCGACTGGCCCCAACCAAGATGTTCTCGGAAGTGTGAGCCAGGAGGCGGCAGATGTGGGCAAGGTCACGGGGGAGGAAGAACCTGATCTTAGTCAGGGAACACCGGTGCAAGAAGTATGGTTTCACTGTGCTGTCGTGAAGATGGAGGCTCATGACATCAGCCCGCCTCAAAAAGACCATCTACTGACGAACTCTAGATTCTCAAACGCGACCAAGAAGGTCAAGAGAAAGCCCCGGAAGTGATCAAGGAAGAGATGGACAAAAAGGTGGCAGACCCAACCTCTATCGCGAACCACGTTGCTTTAAGACAAATGGAGAACATCGCAGCAGGAGGCGAACTCTCAGATACTGTGGAGCTTGGCCACAAGTATGAGTTACCTGATCTACCATTACCGCCGGATGGTAACCTGAAATACCGATACGATCCAGTTGTTTCCCAAGTCACGAATTTGTTGATGAAAGATGGCAAGAAGAGCGTTGCCCAAAGGGTAGGCTCGTCAGTTCTATTTCGTTTCCTCCCGCGTTGCATTGCTGCGTAGAGGCTACCTTGAAAGTCATACATTAACGGTTCTTTCTGCCTTAGAATATGTCCTACATCCTGAACTACCTCCGAACCGCCCCTCCGCCGAGTACTAATCCTGCCCGGCCTCTCGTCCCTGGTTCACCTCCCGCCTCACATCTTCCTCTAAACCCAGCACTATACCTTACAGTTGCAGTCGACTCGGTCGCACCACTCCTGCGCATCAGAGCTTTGAAAGGTGCAGCAGGAGGTGGAAACTCTTTACAGATACCTGTTCCTCTCGGATTAAGGCAACGGAGACGGCAGGCATTTCAGTGGATTCTAGATGCGGCGAACAAAAAGAAGTCTCGAGGCAGTGGAAAAGGGCAGTTTGCGCAAAGGGTTGCAGAGGAGCTGATTAGTGTTGTGGAAGGGAGAAGTACCGCTTGGGATCGGAGAAACCTGGTCCATAGAGCAGGAACGACTGCTCGGGCGAATCTGAATTATAGGGTTCATAGGAAGAAGTGATCTTGGTCTAGACGCTGTTCTACTGTATAATACTGTATTCGATCATATATTCATATGACAACCGGTCCTCGGCTGATTCCGGGATACCTTGCGCCTGTCCTGCGGCCTCTCAAATGGTGTTGTGCGATGTTCAGCTTTTGAAGTTCTGGGAAGTGATGGGTTGGTAAGACAGTCATAGGTAATTGGACAAAGATAGGGATGCTAGCAAAGTCGTTCGGGTAGACAGCTTGGCTGACATGCACGTCAGCTCCGCCTTTTCAATGTCCAGCGATACTTATCGGAGCACGTGCTTTCGGGATTGGAGATTTCGAGGGGCTGAGTCCACGCGGTGAAGCGTGCATGTTCCCTCCCGGCCGGGCTCAGTGTTCATCTGGGAGTGGAAGTGCCAGGGCGGAGAGGGCTACAATCAAGACGTGTAAGGTGTGTATTGTATGGAGCGTCTGCGCGGATACACCATCTAGGTGCCAACTGCCAAGAGAACTCTTCCCGCGGGGGGTTTCGGGGAGGTTGGAGGGTTAAGACACGCGTTGCAGGGTCTGGTGCGCGGTGGGCTTTCCTAGAGCCTTGGTCAAGGTGTGAGTGATGTGATTTCACGGAGTATTAACCACGATCTTGCGCTCTTGGCTATGCCATGGGGCCTTGGCAAGGGCAGGTAAGGGTCTTCATGTTTTGCTCGTGAGACACGGTCCAGACCAAGATTGTTGGACGACGACGACGAGGCATATAGGTTCGGCAGGGAGGTCGCATGTGCTTGATTGACTGATCTCTCTCTCTCTCTCTCTCTTCTAATCAAGAGCTGGAGAGGGGATGAATATCTATGCGGTCATGGTCGTGAGCAGCAAGAGACTATACATCGGGCCAGGCCGTCAGCCTTCCCCGCCAACGGACTATCCCCAAACGAGCCAATCAACACGTGCGTTCGGCACAGGGGGAGCTCCCATCTCTCTAAGGCATAACTAAACCGTCTGCTCATTCTCCGTAAAACCCTCAAATAACAAGAATTCCTCTTCTTCCGTCCATCCTCCAACTGCCAACTATCGGCTATCTTTCTCAGCCTTCCAGTCTCTCGTTCTTGCGTTCTTGCCATCTTCCAAAACTTTTCAACACGCCTGAACTTACACCTGCCAGCTCGTCCGTTTCTTCATGAATCCCTCCTCGGCCTCCCGACCATCTCTCTCGTTCCAACTCCTGCAGCGCGGTCCTCTTCAGCCCGGCAAAGACAAAGAATCACGGCGGCAGCAGCACGCGTCATATTGGCAGTGACTGGCAACTTCACTGAGCGCAACCAGCATACCTACACGTACATACGGAGGGATACCTCGACGCCCGCCAGATCCCTGGCTCGCAGGACTCTCTCGCGCGCCCTGAGACCATCTAACCCGACTCGGCTCGAATCTTCATCTTCCCTCTTCCTTCTTTGCCCTCGACCTTACCTGTCCTTCCTGCAGTTCCAGACACGACGTCACCCTTGCTGGCGTTGCGCAGATTCGAGAGGAAGGCACTACCATTTAACACAGTACTGACCTGCTTGACCATAGCATGGCTACAGCATGATCTGAGCGCGACTTCGAACCGTACACTTCTACCACAATGCGGGATCTTGGTTTTGTTTGGCAAACCCGAAAGCTCATTGACCGATAACGCCTGGTCCGGTTAGAGCCTTTGCTCCTCTTGCCTCCCGTTTCATCCTACCCAGCAAAAAATCTGGTCTCGCCATCGCCAGAGCCGCAATGTCCCAGAAACCTACGAACGAAGATCGTCCCGGACGTAAGGGATTTGCAGTTGCCGCTCCAATGGCCAGCCCGCACATGTCTTTGGAGGCCATACTGGAGGAGGAGCGAAGAGAGGTTTTAGCACTGTTGGAAGCGACCAGAGCAACCCCAAGGCAGCGATCCAGAGGCTCTTCGGCCTCTGCAGCATCAGGACAAGCACTTCCCCCCCGGGCGAACCCTCGATCTCCGGTGAAAAGCATGCTCGACATTGAAGATGATTGGAGCCCCTGGCATTCTCCGATGCGTGGAATAAACGGCGGGATTACGAGTTCACGGCCTTCGGCACCCATTCGCAGTATGCTCGACGTGAGCGGTTCACAACCAGCGGCAGTGGCATCGATAAGGAGTAGGCAGGCGTCACCAATGTCAGCAAATCACAGAGCAGCTATAGCGCCGAACACGCAACACAGAAGTCTATCCGATGCGGCCTCCCGTCCAGCAGCGAATTTCGGTCCAAGGGCACGGGGTTTGAACCCTGCGTCCGCGTATCAGTTTTCTGGATTTTTGTTAAACAACCCTGGAGATCCCGTTGTGCCCAAGCCTAACACTCAAGCTGGAAAGAAGAAGATCTCTCCGAAGGCGATGGCGGAGGCAATGAGAGGAGAACTGAGTTCTTTCGTAGCCCGTGACAGAGAAAAGAGGCACTCCATTGCAGGCACGGAAATCAGCAGCACCGCAAATTCCAAATCGCCACAGAACCGTCTAGTGCGGCGTTCCAGTTCTCCCCTGTCGAGAATGCTAAATTCGGACTCAAGCAGATTTGTACTGAATGATGGCAGAGTCATCGATATGACCAGCGCCTATCAACGTTTATCGGATGCAAAACTTGCTCTATCAGCGGGTGATCTTTCATCCCTGCCTGAGAAAACTCGACGGCGGCGAACAGACAGTGCAAATGCCATTGGCCTGCAGGGTGCTAGGCTGGAGCAGGATCACACTCCGCCTGAGGGAGAAGATGCCATGGTGGATAGTAGTGATGGTGAGGACCGAAGCTCAGATGATGAGCGGCAGCGAGGAAGAAGGAAGGAAGGAAGAGATACTGACGTCGACGCTGCCGATGCTGAGAGCAAGACCGTCGGCACGGATCAAGCAAAGGACTTAAGGTCGGCCTTGATCCTGACGACCACACCTGAAACGGACCGTACGTATGATAATGGCAAGTGGAGACATTTTTCAGCTGATAATTGCTTCAGATCAGGGGCTTCCTGCTCAAAGAATCGAGAAATACAAAGTTCGTTCTCTATTGGAGCCCGAGATTACAATTACGGGACCTCCAGGAGACAAGCTGAAATCATCCAAACCTGGAGTCCATCCTATCACAAGCTTTGATGAGGGGGCTTCTGATCTTAATACACTAGTAGATTCAGATGCCGAAGCTGATCTTACAGATATCAAACGTGCCCAAAAGCTTTCAGTCAACATGACCTCTATCGTATCTACCCCAGCCACTAGCCGCTCCGTGAGGACCATTTACCGCGGCGATTTTGCAAAAATGCAACAAGAAGCCCGCGATAATCAACGTAGAGTCAGGAAATATCTGGTAGCAACAGATCTCAGCGATGAGGCTGCCCATGCTTTGGAATGGACAGTTGGAACTGTCCTGCGCGATGGGGATACTCTACTTGCTATCTACTGCGTTGATGAGGAGCTTGGGATTGTCCCTAACGAAGCAAGCGGGGACGATTCCCAACTTAAAGAGCAGGCTGCCGCGATCGCAGCGTCAGCAAGACCCCTTAACACTACACCCGTGCTTGCTCCAGCCCTAACATCAACTCCGTCATGTGCTGGCTTCAGATTGGAATCTCATAGTACCAGTACGAGCCCACAGGGGAGGGAAAGAGACAAGGCTGAACAGGAGCGCCACAGAGCTGTACAGGACATCACCGATAGAGTGTCGAGATTGCTAAGGAAGACCAAGCTGCAGGTCAAGGTTGTGATTGAGGTCATACATTGCAAGAGCCCGAAGCATTTGATAACAGAGGTCATCGATTATATTAGCCCTACCCTAGTGATTCTAGGGAGCAGGGGACGGAGTGCTCTCAAAGGGTTAGTTGTTCTCTTTCTCACACATGTGAGCTTCGGACTAACAGCAAATTCCAGCGTCATTCTAGGCTCCTTCTCCAATTATCTTGTCACCAAATCCTCAGTTCCTGTCATGGTAGCCCGCAAACGTCTCCGCAAGCACAGCAAGTACAAGCGCCCCTCAATCAGATTGGCCAACAATCTTGAAAACCCGGCTGTGAGGAGTCTGGCATCCGCCAAGATTGACTGATGTATGGATCTTCTTTGCTTGCTGGGGGATGCGTGCTATGCTGAAGACTTCATGAAACTCCGAAGGAGATGAAGAGAAAGAGAGCATAGAGTCCTTCATCTTCTTTATATCTTTATTTATACGCTGAAATAAGACGTGCTAATGGGAAGGAAAACTGGTTGATCAACATGGAATAGTGGCTCTGACGGAATGGCGTTGCTGGAAATTTGAAATTCGGTTGCATCTGCTTGTGGATGGATCACTATGGTAGGACGGGAGTATTGTGAAGGGATAGCGGCAGACTTGCTTTGGCGTCCATGGATTAATATAGAAATGAATACCGCTCTTACCTTTCCTCATTTCTCAAATCTGTATTTCTTACCTTCCATCTTATGTAGTCACTAATATTTTAAAATCACCAAGAGGGACCAGCTTATTATAGTTTGCAATGTTTTTGTATTGAGTGTGTATGCCACAGCCCCATGAGCGAAGAACCAGGCAGGTGTAGCAGCAAATGCAACCGCAAAGCCAGCCCTAGGCTCCGAAGCAAAGCAATACATCAAAATAATGTGCCGCTGGTTCACTCCATCGTGAACCATGAGAAAGCCGACGAGGCCGCCTCGGCAAAGCCGCACAAATAGTCTATGAGTACAGTCGTCCAGATAAAAGGAAACAGAAACGGGATCATAAAAGCAGGGGGAAGTCGTCGAAGGCGAAAATCGAAATTGTGCCACGCCAAGGAAGAGAACCGAGAGTGCGCAAAACTTTTCCGTGCCCGAGCCAGCTGCTGATTGACAATACGTGAAATGTGCATGATGATAAAGAGGTCATTAAGGGGTATTCTTGTGCAGGTGTCGAAGAGATGGGGCAATCAAGCCTTCTCTTCAGTCTTCTCGCCCTCCTTTGCATCACTGGTAGCCTCCTCGCCCTCACCGCCCTTGTTCTTTACGTACTCGTCGTAGACGGTAAGAGCTTCATCAACCTTCGCCCGAAGAGCAGACTCATCCTCGATGCTGTGACAGTTAGTAAAAATCACCTCACAAGCCACGGAGTGAATACTTACAGGTTCACCAACTCCGAATTATCCATCTCCAGAAGCATACCGGTGATCTTGCCTGCCAATTCTGGTTGCATAACCTGAATCTTAGGGAACAAAGCTTCTCCGAGGAGCTGCTTCTGTTGCTGTGGGCCAACTGTTGCGAGCTGCGACTGTAGGAGACTAACACCAGTAATGCCCTCTGGACCAGCTGGCATACCAGGAATCTGAGGAGGCATGCCACGACCGGCTTGTGGAGGGAAGCCACCTGGGTATTGACCTGGACGGCCACCCTGAGCACCGCGACCCGGCAAGCCACCTTGTCTAGCACCTTGAGGGAAGCCAGGAATTCCTTGTTGGCCAAGACCAGCCATGTTGGGTGGCATACCAGGCAGACCTTGCATAGGTCCACGTGCGCCCGGGCCACCACGACCGCCGGCTAGAGCAGCAGCGGCCTGAGCTTGCTGCATGGCAGCCAAGAACTGTGGGTTGCCCTGTTGAGCATAGGGAGTCCCAGCAGGGAATTGACCGGGAAGGCCGTACATGTTTGGAGGAAGCTGTTGAGGACCCGGGACGCCGCGACCACCTTGGGGAGGGAAACCGCCAGGATATTGGCCAGGACGTCCAGCTTGAGCACCTGGGATGGGCATACCAGCTTGGGGAGGGAATGGCATACCACGTCCGCCAGCTTGTGGGATAAATCCAGGCTGTTGGCCAGGTGGGTAGAACATGGGCGCTTGCATGTACTGTTGTGGCATACCGGCGGCGGCGGCGGCTTGTTGCATACGGATCTGGTTTCGGGCTTGAATGCTTGCCTCCAACTGGCTCTTGCGAACATCTTTGCGCTGAGCGAGGGCAACATAGAGTGGCTTGCCGTTGACCATACGCTGGTTCATCTCGGCAACAGCCTTGGTGGCCTCATCAGGGTTATTGAAGCAAACGAAGCCAAATCCCTTGCTCTTGCCCAATGGGCGCTTCTCTGGCTTTGGCGCAGCGGCCTTCTTCTCAGTCTCCTCTTCGGCCTCGGTCTCGCCCTCCTTCTTGTTTTCCTTGTTCTTCTCTTCGTCCTTCTTTTCCTTCTTTTCCTTCTCTTCCGCCTCGGCGGTTTCGGCAGGGGTATCGCGCATGACCTTCGCTGAGGTGATAGCGCCGTAAGGTGCAAAGAGCTCACGAAGCTTCTCGTCATCAATATCATCCTCGAGGTTCTTCACGTAGAGGTTGACACCCTGGTACTTAGATGCCTTCTCGATACGAGCAGCCTCGTAAGACTTGCGAAGTTCCTCTTCACGCTCGTGCTTCTTTTGCGCACGACCGACGTAAAGATCCTGGCCCTTGAAATCCTTTCCGTTGAGTGCTTCAACAGCAGCCGCAGCATGTTCATGGTTGACGAAGTTAACAAAGCCAAAACCACGGCTCTTGCCAGTCTCTTGATCCCGAGCAAGTGATGCAGATGTAACTTCACCATACTTCTCGAACAATTCTCGGAACTCGTCGTCAGTGACCTCGGTGGGGATGTTCTTGACGTAGATGTTGGTGAAGTTGGCCTTCATTTCCTCAAATTTACTCTGACGATCCTTCTTGGGAATGTGATGACCAACGAAGACCTTCTTCTCGTTCAAAAGCATACCGTTGACGTGCTTGATAGCCTGGTTGGCAGCCTCATCGGTTTCATAATGAACGAATCCATATCCCTTAGAGGCACCAGACTCATCCTGAGCGACCTTGCAGCTCAGAATGTTACCAAAAGCGGCGAAAGTATCATGAAGAGCTTTGTTATCGATGGCCACGTCCAGGTTCTTGATGAAAACATTGCCTTGACCGGTCTTACGCAGAGCTGGGTCGCGTTGAGACCACATGATGCGGCAAGGGCGGCCCTTGATGAGAGTGTAGTTGAGCTCCTCCAAAGCCTTCTCGCCGTCAAGGGTAGTGTTGTAGTTGACGTAGGCGTATCCGAGCGATCGACGAGTGACGGCATCACGGCAGACACGGATAGATGCGACAGAGCCGATTTGAGAGAAGAGCTCGAAAAGCATAGCCTCAGTGACAGAGGGGTCAAGCTCACCAACGTAGAGCGAGGCGGAAGCCTGGGGGTGGGGAGCAGTAGAGCTTGGAGTTGGTGCGGCGGTCTCAGTGTCCTCAGATTGGGTATTGGAGACATCGGTGTTGATGGCAGGAGCGCCGTTTGCCTCGCCTCCATTCAAGGAAGCATTGCTCAGGTCAGTGGCGAGCTGGTCAACGGACGGGTTTGCGGTAGCAGCGGCAGACATCTTGAGAATATGATACTGTGAACAGCGTGTCAGCAGACTTTGCGCGCCAAATGTAGCTCTGGGAGGCAAGATGCAAAGGGATGTGGCGACGCGCGGGAGGAAAAATCTCGGCTCACCTTATTACGTCGAGATGCCCTGGGTTGATGATGGTTTGGAGATCAGGCAGGAAGTGCTGCTAAAAAGCTGGACAAGACAGGACCTGCAAGAATGTGCGGAAGATCGTAACAGAGTCGCGGCACAAGGAAGAGATGGTGGAAGGTGTGGGGGATGAGGGAAGGTGAAGATTGAGGTTGAGGCGGTCGAAGAAGATCGATCGCGAAACTGGGGTTTTTTGGGATTTTTAAATTTTTTTGGGCCTCTTTTAGAGATTTTCTGAAAGACAAAGGTGACGAAGGGGAAAAGCACGAAAGGATCGTACTTGGTCCGCTGTCGAGGATGTGGATTGATTGTGATGATGGGGGGGATGGGGGAAGGAAGATCGACGGAGGTCAGAAAACACAAAAATATAATATCACGGCGCTCGCGACGCAGAAAAAGGCGCTTAGCTTAGCCTACTGTACCTTTGCCGAGAGAATTTCCTTTAAAATCCGCGTTTTCTGCTGGCCGGGCGCTCGCTTAGCTAGCCCTTTGCGGCTAGAGGTCACACGTGAGAGTGGGCACGTGAGCACCGGAAGAGAATAGCAGCCTGAGGTTATCAGGGTGGCAAGGCCATCATCCGAGGCTCTGTATTGCGGCCTCACTGATCAGGCACCACATCGCTGCCCCACGGCAAGGGCGACGAACATCATCGAAAGGCTGCCATTCCACTCCGTCGTCTGTCTATCTTACCTATCCTCCCTTTCATAATCTACCTACGCATCCTGCACAGCAGCCTTTGACACTGTACAGCAACCCATCAGAGGGCGTTCCCTTTTCTTTCCTTTTCTCTCCTTTCCTTTCCTCCTCCTCCTTCCACCTTTCCACAAAGATCTCTTGGAGGTTGTCTCTTGTTCCGCCTCTATCTAGGTATCTTACCTACCTAGCTATCTAGGCTCTCGGCCCAGTCCCTGCGCTGTCCGGCATGTTTACTCACACATAAATCACTCTCATAGGTGACGGCGGCGAACAGTGCAGGTGCATCCCTCAACATGTTCCAGACTTTCAGCGGTAGTTCTCGTCGTCCTCGCCAGGTCAACCTTTCCGGCCAGAATCTCAATCCTTTTGCTGCAAGCTCGTGGACCCCCTCCGCTTCGGGCACCCAGAAAACCCTTGCACATGCTCAGCAGGAGAGGCAACAACGGCAGCAAGAACGAGAGCGGCTGAACGCCACCAAACGAATCCAGAGAGTATGGAGAGGCCACAAAGTGAGGCAAGCAGTGGCAGACTCAAGGAGGAAGGCTTGGGATGATGCGGAAGCTGCTGGTATTGATGTCGATGGAACGGGCTCGTGGCTGGTTCAGCAAACACAGCTCCTGGTGGCATTCTTTAGTCCACGACGACAAGACGACGTCAGTAGATTGATAGCTCTCAGTCAAAGGATATCTGCAGCCGGCCATCAATCTTTTCTGGCTCGTCATGATATCCAGCCGCAGATTTCTCGACTGTCAAAAGTCACACTTGATGCTCTCCAATTGTAAGTCGAACTCTACACGCTCTATTTCACCTAGACCCTCCTAGATGGCATGACTGACGACTTGTACAGCTTTCTGCCCGAGTGCTCGAGCCCATTGCTGCAGTTGTTAATAGCAATAATTGATCAACGTCCACACGCCTTCCCTACAATATCTCGCGCGTACTACAACTACCTATCAGCCCTTTTCACTACCAATAAGTCCGGGAATCTAGATAGAGACCTCATATTAACTGCAATAAAGGTTCCTTTAGTGGAGCAAAGCCGTAAGTACTTCTTATCTCTATTTAGGTTTGCCACCGAATTTGTACATGAAGCTGACAAGTCCAAGGTGAGATCGTCCTCAACGCATACGGCGCCTTCGCTGTGCAATTCTTGACGATCCCTGACCTGAAAGGCTTACTAGGCCGTCTGGATGAGTTAGCGGCCATCATAAATGTCGGTCTCCTTTCTGAAGCATTGGTTCACGAGTTTTCATCTGGCTCAGCAAACCACGTCTCGCCCGATAATCGATTATGGCTTCTAGCTCATTTCATAGCACTGCATCGTCTTCAGCAGCGGAGTGATCAAGAGCCCACATTTCTTCGAGCACTATCCCTACAGTTATCAAGTTCATCGGGCGAGATTGTTGGCCGGATAGATTCAGCCGATCCCGAGTCTTTACAAGAATCTGCCGACGACGAAAACGCTCAGGCCACTGTCCCGCCACCACTACCCTCTTTCATTAGGGATGAGCTCACATCACTAGTCAACCAAGCTAGCATTACTGGTTTGCTAACTAAATTCAATATTGACTACGCCAAAGCTTCTGTAGCTGGGGAGGAAGATGCCAGTCTACTCGCAAGTTATGCGTTGACTCTTCTTAGAATCTTCCCGCGTCGTGGTGACGAGATCCGAATGTGGCTCTATCTAGGATCAATGACTACTTCGTCTGGCGTCCTAGTGCCGGCTTTAAAGTTCTTCTGGCAAGCTGTGAGTTTGACCAGAACATTCTCTGTCATAACAGAGGATTCGAAGGCTGCTTTGTCGATACTTCGGTCACAGATTGTCACATCAAGTAATATTTCTGATGACCGAGAATGGCGAACAATTCTCTTGTTTCTGGAACTGTATACTTTTGTCCTCAGATTTACCGACGATGAAGAGTTTTTGAGTGGTAGCGCTCCAAATCTTGGCCAAGGGAACGCACCAATATCTCGAATCCGTGCAAGTGCTCTTCCTCTCGAAGACGTGAAACGATTAACACTCTTTCTGAAAAATTTGGCTTTTACGACTTATTATAATGCCGGGGAATTATCCGATGAAGACCAGCAGATAAGCGAAGGGGGCCTAGGAACCTACTTTGGGACACATGTAGCTACGTCGAGATCCCAGTCCCATGACGCTGATATGGCAACGAAGCGCGCAACGCGACGCCCATTCGCTGGTATTGCAGGAATGACCTTCAAATATGTAAGAACTATAGTTACTGGTGTAATGCGGATGCTCTACGAGCGGGATTCGAGACGGCGATTCTTACCAAAAGATCACTGGCTGATGACATCGAGATTCGATATGGAGGGCTTCATCCCTGCTGTAGTTATGGAAGAAGAGAGACAGCACCAGGTCAGGGAGGAGGGCGACGACGAGGATGTCAACGACGAGGATGTCAACGACGACTTAGATGATGTGATGGGAGAGAGGAACCTTATTGGTATGGCCAGGCCGCGCCGTGCCCTACAGATCGAAAGCCTGAGAAGACAGCAACAAAAGGCAGCTCGAAAGAAAGTACTCGCCGCAGTGGGGCCGAGACTAGAAGTCCTGCAGAATATGCCATTCAGCATCCCTTTTGAGACCCGTGTGCAGATATTCCGGCAGTTTGTCCTCCTTGACCAAACTCGCAGGCGGGGCGGTAATGTGGATCCTGACAGGTGGCGCATGTCCGTGGTACAAAATGCTCTGATGACCCAGGGGCCAATGGCTTCAGGCCGTGAAGTTTTAGGCAGGCATCATGCTAAGATCAGGCGTGATCAGGTGTTCGAAGATGCTTATGATCAATTCTATGATCTAGGAGAAGATCTGAAGGAACCGATCCAGATTACATTTGTCGACAAGTTTGATACCGCCGAGGCCGGCATTGATGGCGGTGGAGTAACCAAGGAGTTCCTCACAAGTATCACAAACGAGGCATTCCGTTCAGAAGACGGTCCAAATCTCTTCGTGGCAAATGACCAGAATCTCCTCTACCCTAATCCATCAAGCCTGGATGAGAGGAAGGAACTGTTGAGACAAGCCGGTCTGACTGAATCCTCTTTGGAATGGCGAGAGAGTATCAAAGATCTGTTAAGACAGTACGAGTTTTTGGGCAGAATTGTGGGGAAATGTTTGTATGAGGGTATTCTCATTGACATCAGTTTTGCTGGCTTCTTCCTCTTGAAATGGGCTGCGTCAGGAGCTACTGCCTCAGAGTCTGGATACCGTGCTAATATCAACGATCTACGCGATCTTGATGAAAGTTTGTATCAGGGACTGTTGAAGCTCAAGAATTATCCTGGCAATGTGGAGGACTTCTCTCTAGACTTTACCATCACGGATACCATCTCACTACCTGGGGCACCTACGAAGACAATTACCAGGGAACTTATGCCTAATGGATCAAACATCCCTGTCACAAATGAAAACCGGCCTCTTTACGTATCATATGTCGCTCGGCATCGCCTACAAGTACAACCATATCAACAGACACAGGCATTTCTCAGAGGCGTTGGTGAAATCATTAAACCATCCTGGCTATCTATGTTCAACCAGTCTGAACTGCAGACTCTCATTGGTGGAGACTCATCGGAAATTGATGTTGAGGATTTGAGGAGGAACACGGCCTATGGTGGTGTGTACCAAATCGGCGATGACGGCCTTGAGCATCCCACGATCCAACATTTCTGGAAGGTTATGAAGGAACTGGATGATTCCGATCGGCGAAAGGTCTTAAAGTATGTGACCTCGACCCCGCGGGCGCCTCTTCTGGGCTTCTCGCAGCTGAATCCCAGATTTAGCATTCGAGACGCTGGCGGTGATCAGGAGCGGTTACCAAGTACAAGCACTTGCGTGAATTTGCTAAAACTTCCGAGGTATTCGACTGCGGCGATATTGCGGGACAAGCTATTATACGCCGTCAACTCTGGTGCAGGGTTTGATCTCAGTTAAGATCGAGTTGGCATTGGGCGCGGGCATATACAATGGCGTTACGGATTGTCGGGATGGGTTGCATGAGCGATGGAAGAGCAGGCTGGGCAATGCGTGACTGTAGATATAGATCAAAACAAGACATGATATGGCGCGACTGTACGGCTTCTTGCTCTTTACACCATCTATTTTCCGAGCGTTATCCTCTTCTTTTTAATCTCTATTGCAAGCGGTCGAATTGCCTTTGTATAGGCACTACTGCGCAAAGTTGCTCGTCAACTGAAATCCACTCAGGTCCCTCTACTAATGATTCCCCTCTTTGCTTACTTGACACCGCACAGCCTAAAGATACCCAGTATCTCGCATCTTGAACCGTCAAGCCGTCAGCTTCTTCGCGAGAAATATCGTTTCCGTCAAAGGGGTCTCATAGTAAGGCTCAATGACCTTGAACCCAAAATCCTCGTACAGTTTCCTGGCGCCGATCATATGAGGCAACGTATCCAACCTCATTTCCTCATACGCCAATTCCTCTGCCTCTTTCAAGACGGCATCGACAAGAGTCCTTCCAACACCCAACCCACGTGCTTGCGGTATGCAGTAGAGTCTCTTCATCTCGCAGATTTTCTCCTTGGCAGAAGCGGAGGGCAGAGGGCGCAAGGCCACACACCCGACTGCGACATTCTCTGTGTTGAATGCGAGAAGGATGGCGCCGGTTGGGCGAGAATAGAGACCAGGAAGGGATTCCAGTTCCTGGGCGAAGTTCTGGAAGGAGAGGGAGATCCCTAGCGACTCGGCGTAGGACGTGAAGAGTTCTCTGGTGGCCGTGAAGTCGGAAGGGGTCGTTGCAGGTTTGAGGTAAAATCCTGTGAGATTGCTCATATTGGCAGCTTTTTGGGTCTCCTTACTACTTGTGCATTATATTGCGGAGTTTTTCTTCAACAAAAGATGGCTCGGTTCGGAGAGGCTGTGCCCCTTTCCATGATAACTCAAGTTGAAATGGTTCTATTATTATAGCTGAGCAAATAAAGCTCAAATTTCAATTAAAGCAGAGCACTGCTCAGACGCATTATTATACCTGGATCCCACCTAGGTAGGTAGGTAGCCAGGAGAGGTGGTTTTGTCACGTGAAGTTAGTGCACGTGATCCGTGCTGTCGCCTAAGGCACCTTTTACCCCTGTACCTAAATTGCCGAAGTTGGATCGTCTCTTGCACACGCTGAACCTCAACGTCATTGATGCCCATCTTTCTACAGTATTGTAGCTGGGATTTTCCTATCCTGCATACCTCTATAGATTTACCTTTCTTTCGCTACAGACTGCCGAAAAGCGCAAGGACAATGACATAGCTACCAGCTTCCGATGCGCTCATATAACTACGGCTATACATTATCATCCCCTCTTTCTCATCACAGGCAGCAACGCCTTCAGAAAGCTCGTGTGCCAATATCTCCCTGCAACGCTAAGCTCAATGTTTACTCCGTACACACGAGTCTCTGTACCGGCGGAATGGGTGAGGCGAGGCTCGGGCCGTGACTGCACATACGCCAACCAAAACAAGGGTCTGGGCCGACAACATAGGATGTCGGTACGGACAAAAGCGCTCTTGGATATATACGTAGTATATATTGATTGTTCTGCTCTTATGACTCACCGGGAAGATTTGCGTTAATACGTACTATTTTGGTCGGATATACATTCGAAGTTTAAGGACTAATTTACCCCTATGTGCATAAAGCCTGATGCTGCAACTGCAGGGGTTTCGAATCACACACTTGTTCGGTCACATGGCCCTTATAAACACGCCGTTTTCTATCCGTTGTTCGGTGAAGCGCCGCAATAATACAAATGACTGCTTTATACGAGAGATTCTTTTCTGCTGAGCTCCACAATTTCGGTCACATGAAGTCTTCGGAAAATATGGCTTGCTCCATACCTATGCGTGAGCTGAATAATGGCGTCCGAATTCCCGCACTGGCTTTGGCACATTTGCGAAGGGAGGGGTATTGGGAATGGTACACGAAGCGGTTGTCTGCCCTTGAAGCTGGATGCAGGCATTTGGATTGTGCCTCGTAGTGAGTCCCTTTGAGAAGTCGGGCTCCCAAATCCAGCTCCTCATGAGAAGTTCAGCTATCTAAATGAAGATGAGGCTGGAATTGGACTTAGAGAATCCATCTCTAGAAACCCGGATGTCAAGAGGTCGGATATTTTTATCACCACCAAAGTATGGCCACATCTCTCGGAGCCGGAGGTTGTGGAATGGAGTTCGAATTATTAGGAAAGCTTGGAACTGATTATGTAGACTTCTTGTTGATCCACTGGCCATTCTCAGCGATGAAAACGGTCGGATAATAAAGTCAAACTTGGGCCCGATGGCAAAGACATGCTTACGAGCTGATATTCATTGCACCCTAATTAACTCATCAATAGTATATCATTAAATTGTCCCTGACAGATAATCCCGAACCAATCTGAAGTGCTCTTGGGAAACTTTACAAGGCCGGCAAGACCGAATCCATCAGAGTTCCAAACTGGACAGTTGCAGAACCGAAGATCCTATTGAAATGCGTAGATAGCTTGGGGCATTGAAAGAGGCAACGTTGTGTTACCTAAAAGTTCCAATAATGAACGGATCAAGAGCAGTTTTCGTTTGATTGATTCAAACGAAGAGGAACTCACAGCTGTGAATAATACTGCCGAAGGGCGGCATTATCGTTTCGTCAACCCGAAGGATATGCTTGGCTATGATGTATGGCCCGAAGAGTCGAGTTAGACACCATCGTTTGACGGTCTTCGCGATGCGGTTCAAAGACCTTATATTATGGGTGCCAGATGGGTGCAAGCTGATGATGAATTTATTCAAGGAGAACAACCAACACCATAAGACAAGTGCAGTATCGCCTGATTATCTAAATTGAAGATTGTCTTTGACGAGGATATATTGCGCCAGAGTACAACTGTGTAAAAGCAGGAGGCGCTCAATTCACACCTTCCTCACTACTGATCCTTTTCGAGGCCCTGCTTACTTTGCGCAACGGATATTGGGACTTCCGTCATGGCGGCGAGCCGGAATAGATGGCGCGCTTGCAGACCGGTGTCATAATCCACCGTTCCCGTATCTACAGAGGTCGTCAGATAGTCTATACAGAGGGTATCAGTTCTAAAGACATACGCAGTGTGGTTCTGCCATCGAACATAACCACTGAGTGCTTCTCCCAGTGAATTCTGGCCTGGAAATCGTGCCCCATTCTAATGATATCCATCAGAAACTTCGTAACGGCCTCCGCTTCTAGATCTTTGAGACCAATGAAATCTTTGGGCCATTCCAGATTCACGAAGATAGATCTTTCGCCCGTGACCGGGTGTACTCGCACCATGGGGTGAACTGAGTCGATGGGATTAGAGCGTACAAGACCCTTGTTCGCTCGCGCAAACGCAATCAACTTCTCAGAGGTATGAATCGCATGCACTTGATCGATCATTCCCTGAAATGCGGGCGAGAGACGTTTGTAAGCCTCAGCTGTATCTGCAACTACGGTATCGCCTCCAACATCAGGACAGGCCAATATGCCGAGCATAATATAACCGGGAGGTTGCCTCTCGTAACTGACGTCGTGATGCCATAAAGTAGAGGTCATCTTGGTCTCGAAGAACTTCTTGATCTCTTCCTCATTACTATCCCGATGTATAATATGGAACTGAGGAAACCCTTTAACAGCACCGGTAACTGGCTGGATGCTGAGCTTGCCGAAGTGGCTCATGAAGTCTACCTGGAACTGGGGGCCAGCTCGAAGAAAATCTAGCTGTTCCCGAAGGATTACTACTTTCCGTTCACATATTAGGAGAGCCAGTTCATCCTTCGCTTCATCTGAGAGGGTTTCCAGCTTGACACCAGTCAAAATTGTACCCATCCTAGGGGTGATCGGTTGAGCGGTCACCCCGCTCTGGAATAGATGTGGCTTTTCTTTGTTGGCTCGGAGGGCAGGGTCATGGTATTCGAAGATGGGGAAATCGTCGAACCAGACACCGGGCTCCCACACAGGAAGATACTCTGGAAATTCCGTCCTGCCTTTGATGTAACGCTTGTAGTCTTCGGAAAGCGGTTTATATGGGATATTGATGTCGTAGGTAGTCTTGGGCTCGGCGGACTCGGCGGGCTCGGCGGGCTCATCATAGATTCGACTTGGTGCCATGATGGAGGTATGCGGAACTGCTATGTCTCAAATATTTCCCGAACGAAATCAGACAATGCTCTGCATGAGGGGCCATCTCGCTGGCTTCTGTGGGGGATATGTACTCGGACAGGATCAAACAGTGCACAGTGCTCAGCAGGGACTAACTTGCCGGCCCTTGTGGCGAGTACGGTCATAAGGAGAACTTACCTCGGAGCATCGCTGGTATGCCCCTCAGTTCGAATGATTGACATGACTTGATATGACCCCGAGGGGGGCTGAAGGGAAGAACATGGGCTCTAAGGCGTGGGGACTGCGGGATGCATCATGCGGCGGTGCAGTGGAGACTCCTGTACCGTTTGTGCTGATCACAGCCCAAAATCAAGAGTATAGAAGACTGTCCGAGCTGTGGAGCCGTTGAATACGTGGCTGCTCGACACAAGTCGTGTATGCATGAAGTTCACCTTTTCATAAGTACCTGGGTAAAGAGAGGTACCTGTGTCGTAGCCTCGTAGGTAGGTAGGTAAGGTAAGATAGGTAGTAGGCAGTAAATAAGTAAATAAGTAAGGCGTCGTACATACCTTAGACCCGCCGCCTCTAGGCGCGCAGGTGGGGTTCAAATAGCGAGGTTAGGTGTGCGCCAATCAAATTAGGTTCGGTTGCGTGAGAGTGCCAAGATTTCCTGGTCCACTGGTCCACTGGTCCATGGCCAGATCTCTCTCCCAACTCCACAATACACGGGTTGACAAGACACTCTGAGCAGCACTGGCGTTATCCACGAATCGCCTAAACCCATACATTTGTGACCATATTTGTGACCATGGCAAGCACTTCCGCAGAGGCCGGATTCTCGAGGCCGACGCCTGAGTGTGATTGGCAGCAACCACACCACAGGGATCAGTCAGGGGACAACATCAGGAAAGGATAGCGATAGCGGTGGACACGCGTCTACCGTGGCATCTACACCTTTCCTTGCCCCTCTACTCCGTACTCCAGTCTCCTGCCTGCCAAGTGACAATGCTGATCTCTTGCTAGGCCCATGCCATCCTGGCCATGGGCCCATGAGAAGAATCGAACTAGAGTGACAGTGAGCAGAAAACGACGCATTGAGCTGCATCCCTAACGGTCGGTCCGGATGCTAGCTTTCTTCCTAGATGGATACTTCCAAGCAGGCAAAATGCTCGTTTGGAGGCCAAACAACCAGCCACCCAGGATATTCTATATTATCCGGAAATATTTTCCCCATGGGCTGTCTATGAAGATGCCACCATTTTCACCCATGGCGAGGCAGATGACTGCATCCATAGTCTCGGTGTTGCCCAAAACAGGTATCTCAGAGGTATAGGCATCCGTGTTCGTGAAGTTTTAAGTGAAGACTTTGAGCCCCAACTAAACCTGGATTATCTCTCCTTGATATAGCTCTTGCTGTTTTACAATGAGATATATCCACATTGCCGGTTATTGCCCGAGAATTCTCAACCAAGATGATGACGATAAGTTTGATGTGAGAGGGTAGTGGCAGAAGTCTCCACGGCCAAGTACAATCCCATGTAGGTTGCGTAGAGGAAGTAGATCGACAGTGCGCTTGGCCGGAATCAACAATAGACTGACTCTTGAGAGCATAAATAGAAACTAGTCTTGAACAAGTGACAGTTGGATATGGTAGCAGCCTTCTCTGTGATATGCAGCAGAGTGCTTCCACTAAGTAGTGAAGATGCAAGACAGTCAGTTTCGTGGATCCCCCGAAGGTCTTTAAAGTTATTTGGAATAAAGGAAAAAACGACGATATAATGTTCTTCTCGGTCTCTTTGACCATCAGAAATCCATTGTCCCCCGGAATTTAGAGCATAAATGAAGGTATGAAACAAGTAATGTGAGAAGTGACAACGAAGTTGGACGCTGTTCGATTGGGGAGCAATCCGCAGAAGCCACTTGTATGGGAAACAAGTTGTTACAGTAGCTGCCAACCTTGACTTGCTATCTTCAGGGCTTACGGATACCATTTTGTTCAATGTGCCTCGTATGATTCCGCAGCATGACCTTACATACTTGATCCGAGAAACTTTCCTGCCCACTTGTGCACGTTTCCTCTCGTACGGCTGGCGTCTGCTCCAGAACTCGAATAAGGCATGTAGAGTTTATCTCTCTTGATAGAAATATATAGCTCGCATTTCTGAGGGAAACAATTGGTATTCTCGTCGTAGTTTCAAACCCACTATTCTTTGTATTTGTACAGACAGCCCAACGCCACGTCCCTATGATACATTCCCCAATGGCTAAGGCGTGTCAGTGGGATTCCGGATCACATACAGATATGCCTTACCATAAGTAAAACACATCACTCAATCCTCTCCATTTTCAACTTTCCACCGCGACAGATATGCCTCTCCACTCAGTGCGCCTTTCGGGTCCCCTTCAAATCGACCTCTGGTGGGTTTTATCTTCCTCGTGACGAACGGCGTGAGCTATAAAGCAGTTAGTATCCATAGCCCGCAGCGCTCCCCCGTTACTAGTCTCCATACCTTGAAGTCTTTGAGGTTTTTCGGCACAACATATGTCCTAACCTTATGCCATTCTATAATGTACCCTCCATGTTGAGTATGGCGACCGGTCGAGCCAGATCCCGTCCCCTTATAGAATCCTTTATTGGCCTGCTTCGTAGATAGTGCGTGTCGTGCAACCCGCTTCAGGAGAGCTTGTGTGGGCTTCATGGCTGCTTGGCTGCTGAATTATGAGGTTGAAAGGTTGAACTTTGAAGGCTCGCACGCTCGTAAGAAGTTACCTTAGTTCTGTAAGGTAAGACGTTAAAGCCGCTAATTTAGATATTTGTAGTTAGCCTTGCGGCCCCACCAAAAAAAAGTTCCCCGACCTCGAAATTTCGTCGAGTTGACCTGGAAATCCAGCGATCTTTGCGCAGACTCTTGGAACTGCAAATTATGCCTGGAAGACAATCCCATGGCGGCGCTCCGTCGAAAAAGCCAAAGGGGCGGGTAAATTCGAAAAAGAGATCATTAGACGCCTTTGCCATTGCCTCCGCTCAAAACCCCGAAAAGATCAAAATCAGACAACATCGTCTTGGAGAGAGTGAGGGAGGAAACCGACCTGGGAAGCGTCCGCGCGGCGAAGAAGATGACGAAGATGAGGAGCCCAGTTTCAATACAAAGAAGCAACGCAAAGGATCGGAAAAGGGTCGGTTTGACGAGCTAGATTTGGATGAGGGAAATGATAGTGAGGGTAACGAGTGGAAGCTTGGCCAGGTCGATAGCGACGATGACAGTGACCTCGACAGTGATGAGGCTTTTGGAGAAAGCGACGAGGAGAGATTTGAAGGGTTTAGGTTTTCAGGGGGCTCTAGTAAAAAGAGTACCAAGAAAACACGTTCCCGTCCAAAAGCTGTGAACCTGGATGAGGACGACGATGACGATGATGAAGGCTCGGATTCAGAATTGGAGGAAGGAGACCTTGGCGAGGATGCAATTGATCTTGCTGCTATGTTGGATGCAACAGAGGGAGACGACGAAGATGCGGCGGACAAGAACGGCGGCCGGGAAGATGGCGCAGGCTCTTCCGAGGAGGAAGATGAGGGGAGCGACATCTCAGACGAGGAATCTTCAATGTCATCTGCGGATGACGACGAATCTTCTGATCCAGCCAAACTCGAAGCCCTACGAAGCCTTATTGCGAATCTCCCACAGACTGACGAGTCGAGTCGAGCCCCGGCTAAGCAAAGAAGTGACGTTGCAAGCGAATATAGCAAGCCTTCGGATTTTGGGCTCACATCAAAGACAAAACTCACTTTAGAGGACCTTGGTCTCCCTACAATAAGGGATCCACAGATCAAAAAGTCTTTGAAATTCCTCGCATCTGATTCAAATGGGGAGAGCAAACGGAAAGGGATCCCTAAAACTCTTGAGGTTCCATTAGCCAAACGGCAGCAGGACCGTCTCGACCGAAGTGCGGCATATGAGAAGACCAAGGAAACATTAGAGAGATGGACAGAGACGGTCAAGCATAACCGCCGAGCAGACCATCTAATATTCCCGCTTCCCGACAACGATGTCGCATCAGCCCACGCAAACAGCCGGCTCCGGTCTACAGGCAATCAAAAACCCTTCAATGAGCTGGAAGCTACCATCCAAAATATCTTGGAGGAAAGTGGACTTGCCGCTGCGAATGGAAAGGATGACGAAGATCATATCCGTGAAATTGAGGAAATGGAAACAAAGAAAATGTCAATTGAGGAAGTCAAAGCTCGGAGGGATCAGCTACGGATGGCTCGAGAGTTACTCTTCCGTGAGGAAGCTAGGGCGAAGCGAATCAAGAAGATTAAAAGCAAGTCATACCGCAAGGTTCATCGCAAGCAGCGTGAGAAAGAGGAACGACTGAATAAGGAAGCGTTAGCAGAGGGAGGATTTGTGCCTTCTGAAGACGAGTTGGAAGCTCAGGATCGCAGACGAGCTACAGAGCGCATGGGTGCAAAACATAGGGGAAGTAAATGGGCGAAGGCTACGAAGGAAACTGGCCGAGCGGCCTGGGACGAAGATGCCAGAGCAGGCATTACTGAGATGGCAAGAAGAGATGAGGAACTTAGGAAAAGAGTGGAGGGCAGAGCTGTTAGGAAGGAATTTGAAGATGACTCTGAAATGTCAGCCAGCGATCCAGATGATGATGTCGATGGGGACGATGACGCAGAGCAGGCGAGGCTCCTTCGGCAGCTGGATGGGGTGAGCGGCACTGATACAGCAAACGGTTCTGCTCTCGGGTCCAGATTGGCAAATATGAAATTCATGCTCAAGGCCGAGGCAGCTAGGAAGAAGGAGAATGATGCTATGGTCGAGGATATCAGACGAGAACTAGCAGGAGAGGAATCGTCGCGTGAAGAAGAAGTAGATGATGATGACATTGGGCGAAGGGTCTTTGGCCCTTCCAGCAACAAAGTCCAGGACAAGGCAAAAATACAACGAAGGAGTGATTCTCAGGAGCCCGCCGGTTCTGATGACGATGAAGCAAATGATATATCGGAAGTCCATGGTGTTAATGATAACCCAAGCGGCACTTCAAGTTCTTCCCGGAGCCAACACCGAGTAAATGGAGCCTCCAGAACTCTGAAAATATCGTCGCCGAAGATCCAATCCAATCCAAGTTCTGAGGGTGGGGCCTGGTCAAAAACAGCATCCAAGCCAAGTTCAATTAGCAATGCGGAAGCCAATAGGCGTCGACATCAACGAAACAGTGCCGCTGAAGTAGAAGACCTTGACCTATCCAAAGCCGCCGTCATAGCCACGAAGCCCAAACGCAAGGGGGCTACCAAGAAGTCGTCAACGCTAGATATGCCTTCTGATGAAGAAAGCAACGATGAAAATCCAGTTCGGCTACCTTTCGCGATACAGGATCAGGAATTGATAAAGAGGGCATTTGCAGGTGCAGATGTAGTAGGAGAATTTGAAACCGAGAAGAAACAGACCATTGAGGATGAAGACGAGAAGGTTATCGACAACACCTTGCCTGGATGGGGGAGCTGGGTTGGAGAGGGTTTGAGCAAAAAGGAGAAGGCTCAAAATAAGAGAAACAAGGGGAGATTTTTGACGAAAGTTGAAGGCGTTAAGGAGCAAAATCGGAAGGACGCGAAGCTTGAGCGGGTAATCATTAATGAGAAGCGAGTTAAGAAGGTATGTGACATTCCTCTAATCTTCGAGGTGGACAGCCAATATCTAACATGGTGAACAGAACAGCAAATACCTAGCTCCGACTCTCCCACACCCCTTTGAGACAAGACAACAGTACGAGAGGTCCCTTCGATTACCCGTGGGACCGGAATGGGCAACGAAAGAAACATTCCAGGATGCTACGAAGCCTAGGATTCTGGTCAAGCAAGGCATCATCACTCCTATGTCAAAACCTTTGCTTTAGACATAAAAGCTTACTCAAATGGAATTATGGTCAATCTATGCAAAGCACTTGTGCAGTTTTTTTTCCGGGAAGCATGCCCGGAGACAAATCTCCTCCGTGAAGTTAAGTGGCGGCCAGTTGAGATTGTCCTGTGACTTGATCTGAGAAATCGACAAACCCTGGCGCTGCTGCACGTACGAAAACGTGGGGCCAGGGTTCCTGCAGTCGTAATTTGTACACATTGTTCTAACCCATAGCTCGACTCGCAATCTACTTGACATTCATATACAGCACGTTGCCAGATGGTAGTACCGTATCTTAGATAGGCACGATGTTATCGTTTTCTCGTTTTCTCTGTCAATGTATTCCGTCTCTAGCTGAACCTCTACCTTCTGGAAGCTTTCTGCGAGTGCAAGAGTCAATATTGGAGAATATCAATAATATTATTGTCCACTGCTTGTATTCAGTTTATGAGCCTTTCCACCAGTGTCGAACGGTGGGTGGTCTTTCGAGGCCGTCGTTCTCGACATGAGGATTTCAAATTTCTAAATTCCTCTTTCTCCTCGATTTTCCAGTGATAAACCCTACCTATCAACCTCGGTTGTTCCAGTTCTCAGTTCTCAGGATCCAGACAGCGGACACAATTATCATAAGCTCTGCTACAGCAGACGCTTTGCCCAGTGGGCCTTTCTCGATACCTCATCTGCACTCCAGTGCCATCATTTCTGTCAGAGCACCGTTGACGTCAATTACACTTACTACATCCTCCATAATGCCTGCGTATGATATCTTCAAGCCAGTAGCAACTGTCTCACCATCAGCTGGTATTAGCACTCATTCTGACTACCCAATTCCTAGACTCGGCATTAAACCACAGGATTTGCCAACTGGAACGAATAAATTCTACGTAAATTTCTTTCTCGACAGCCAGACTACGGCATTTTAGACGTATCTCTATTCGGTAGCATAGTCCAAAGGTAGAGGAAGGATAGGGAGCTAGGGAATGTCAATCCGGCATGTTGATGAGAACCAGAAGGTTTTTGGACCCACCACATCTGCAAATGCGGCTCAATATTTTATTTACCCCATCGGTATCCAATCGCTGGTTCTTTCTGCAGCTGAGCTGGGATCGCCAATGACTATCTCTATAGGTTCTATAACTGCCTTCTCCGCAAATGTCAACTTGTTGACAAAATCTGAAGCTGAATGAGCGATTACATTTCTTCTGGTGCAGGTATGTTTTTCGTCACTGGAGTCTATCATGGATACACCCCCGTCCTGCAGACTGGTGTGTTTTTACGTTCTATCACGAGATATACTCCAGCCCTGAGATTCAGGGTAACAAAGTACACAGTAGTTCCTGAAGATGAAGAAACAGGGCTGGCCTATACCTATTCCCCTTCTGGAAACGAGCTTGATTCCACTGTCGTTAGCAACGGCCTTGCACAAGTGACTTCTAACTTCAATGGCATTATCCAGGTTGCCAAGAACCCAGGTGGAGGGGCTGAAGCACTGTACGATGTTTGCTGCGAGCTCTATCCAATCACTATGACATTATCTGGCAGTGTCGACGGAGTTGTAGCCCCATCACGTTCAATCGCCTTCCCCGACCACCAGCTCGGCTCTCACCGGTATACGGCTCAATACCACGACGAAGGACATGGCAACTGCTGTAATTGCTAATTCATGAACACCAACAGAGAAACTCCCGACCAGTATGTGCTTTATCCCGGGGCGCCATCCACTGAACAAACGGACACTCCCAACTCCAGCTATTCCCGCCTATGAAGCATAGCGGCCAGAGAAATCTCTTGGGATATGAGGCAGACCAATCTTGATTTTATGTACTTCGGTGGCAAGGTCTGGGCCAACCCCTGGGGGAATTTGGCCACTAACGCTAATTCATGCAACTTATTCTAGGTGTTGGCAAAGCTCGCCGGAACCGTATACACGGTTCACGATCTCCTGGACGACGTAGGATGAGCTCGAGTAGGGTTGGCCGATCTCCAAGCTCCTTCCTGGTCTTCCAGCGACACGCAGCAATCCCTTCTCTTTTAGGAAACAGCCTGGAGAGGTATCGTTTCAAGGAGCCTAGATTCAGGTTTGCTTGTCACAAATGAAGGCCTCATCAATTCTTTCCTCAGAGATATTACCAATCCCTAAACCAAAGACAACTCCCTGTCAGTAGAAACTTTGACTTTATTATGGGCATCTATGGCCACACGGCGTCGGCGAAACGCTTCACAGGAAACATTCAGAGCCCTCCTCAGAGGATTCGATGTCCGCTTATGCTATTAAGATGTGAGGTAGGACTATCAGGGATAGCAACATGGAGGCACGAGGAAACCTGCAGCTTGCCGTAACTGCCCGATCATTACAGAATTATTTCTTATATGAGAGTAGCAATACCGTGGAACCTGCAAATTCTCTGGTATCCTGTTCGAAAACAAGGTCCATCACGCCACGTACTTCGGAGCCAACATTAGATACGTCCATGGTATATATATTTTCCATCCATACTAACTCAGACGGCAAAATTCGTGGCCCAGGACTAGAATACGTACTTTTTAAACGGACGAGTTCATTCTATTATAGGAGGACGGAAGGGGTTTTTATATGGCAACCTTGGATAGTTGACCCAAAGCCTCATGGAACTCCTTCATTCAGCCAGACTTGGATGATTCATGGTTGGGTCTCGCGCTTATATAAATCTTTGTGGGTCTTTCTTTCTCTTGTAGTGAGAATTGGCCCTGCTATGTCCTGTAGACTCACATGGGCTGGCATGGATAAGTTACTGTAAGGCTGTCCAATACAGAAACATCGAATATAGAATATAGAATATAGAATAGAATAGATGGAATAGAATACCTACCTAGAGGCTCACATGTGCCTGGTAAGGTATTTACGGAGTAAAGTATATCGTGACTAAGCCGTGGCCAGGTACCAGGTATTTATTTACCTCTTCGATCCGCGCGTTACCCGTTACCCAGGCGAAACGGCCATGAGCTATTGCATGCCAAGAAGCAGCTATGGGGAGATCGCTCTGTATGTACGTCAGCAGCATGCATCCAAGGTGAGGCATATTTTTGCTATATCTTCCAGCTATTTTATCTCCTTTTATTACTTCCTCTACAGTACCTACCTCCGCTCCAGGGGTTTATCCAGAGAAGAAACGAAACTGAGGGTGGGAATTTGGCAAGCGATTCATGAAACAGTTCAGTTGAGACCTCCGCCCTCAACTACGACCTCAACTACGACTACAACTACCTTACCAATACACAGACCCTCGCACAAGCAAGTGTGAGCCAGCAAAAGCACAACAGCTCAAGCTTCTGCCCAGCCCGACGGCATAGACAAAGCTGCCAATCAGCATGGTGTGTGAGTCGGCCTCTTCTCTCTTTCCTCTCTTCTCCGCCGTCTTTCTCCTCAAGCCTAGGAGCTTCTACAATACCCTGGCCTATCTACTGCCTTCTCCCGCCCCCTCTACAGGTGATTGCGTGTGCTAGATACCGGCAATCTCCCCTCCATTGCTCCATCAATTCGCGCTATATTTACGGTCCCGGCCCTCCGTTCTTTGCACAGCCGTTTTGCCAAGGCCCAATAAAATCTCGGTGCGATTCACTGGTTACCCTTACTGACTTCTACCTTTGCGCTTTGATATGTAGCAGCAGGAGTCCCCTTTAGAACCGAGTTGCGCCGCACGAGGTCTTCCGTCCAAGGTAGAAACCGGTCTTTCTCACAGCGAACTCTCTCCGGCAACATGACGGACGGCCAGGATGAACGGTCCCCGTTAATCGCGCACGCGAATAGAGATGGGAATGGAGACGCTCGTCCTCACTCAACCCTGCACGAGCTCTTTTTGAACAAGTACACTCCTGGAATGGATAGCGAGAACAAGCTCGTGAGCTTGTGCGCACACGTCTTCAATGTTACCAAGATAACACTGCTGAGCAACTATGTCAATGTCCTCCTAGTCTTCGTACCCTTGGGTATTGTCGCAGGTGCAACGGGCTGGAACCCGACAACGGTGTTCATCCTCAACTTCTTCGCAATCGTGCCTCTGGCAGCTGTTCTCTCATTCGCAACGGAGGAGATATCAATGAAGCTGGGCCAGACAATGGGAGGGCTTTTAAATGCTACCTTTGGCAATGCTGTGGAGCTTATTGTATGTACTAAGATAAAAAAAGACAATTGTGGCCTCGTTGCACATCTAACCAGCTTTTTAATAGGTCAGTATCGTCGCGTTGAAAAACGGAGAAATCAGAATTGTCCAATCTAGCATGTTGGGAAGCATCTTGTCGAACATTCTCTTGGTACTGGGATGTTGCTTTCTAGCTGGAGGTGTCAGAAACACAAGGACAGGTCTAGCGGCTGGCATTGAACAGACTTTCAACACGACCGTGGCATCTACCATGTCCTCCTTGATGGCTATATCTTCGGCTTCTCTTATCATCCCCGCCACAGTGAGCTCTCCCCAGCGTTTAGACCCACCCTAACCTCTGCTAAATATCACCAGCTCTTTACTGTTCTTAAAAACTCGTCAATGGACACCGACGGGAACATATTGGTTCTCTCTCGCGGCACTGCCATTATTCTTCTGGTCCTTTACATTCTCTACCTCGTCTTCCAGCTCCGCACCCATGCGAATCTTTTCGATGCCGAAAACCAACTGGAGGATGGCGAAGAAGAGGAGCCATCCATGGGTCCTCTGCCCGCAACATTGGTGCTCGTTGCTGTTACTATCACAGTGGCTATCTGTGCTGAATATCTGGTCGATAGCATCGATGCACTTGTAGAAACCGCGCATATCTCCAAGACCTTTGTTGGTCTAGTTCTTTTGCCTATCGTTGGAAATGCAGCTGAACATGTGACTGCAGTAGTCGTTGCTCTCAAAGACAAAATGGATTTGGCTATGGGGGTAGCCATTGGGTCCTCCATGCAAATTGCTCTGCTGGTAACGCCCTTCCTCGTGATCCTAGGCTGGATCATCAACCAACCCATGACACTCCACTTTGAGACTTTCGAGACGGTAGTCTTCTTCTTGAGTGTTCTCGTCGTCACCTATGTTATTGGAGATGGCAAATCTAACTATCTTGAGGGCGCTATGGTGAGTCTCTTCACCCCAAGAACATATGAAAGGACACTAATTTCGATCGACCTGATAGTTGCTCGGTCTATACATTATCATTGCACTTGCCTTCCTGGTGTACCCCGATGGTGCGGCGGATCTGCCAGGTCTAGCGGTGAGGTCTGTCAAGGGGTTGATGGGGTATTAAGGTAGTAAGCCTCTCAATGGGTGAAGGGATCCAAAACCCCCCCAGAAAGCCCCGTCAAACGATGTAGAATTATGGGAGTGGTCAAGGATATGCGGATGTTGTGGAAACCGTACGACGAGGGTTCCTTTGTACTTTTATCAGTATTAGCTGAAGCTAACCCAAATAACAATTTTCCTTGATACTGTTGATGATATAAGTGACTTGCTTTGACCTCTCACCTTGCAGAGACGTATGTGCATATATGTAAATACAGGGTAGCAGAGCTCGTCAACGCCTACCGAAGCTACGGAGGCAAGGAAGTAAGTCGTCACAGTACAGGTGTTCCCGAAAGTGTCATATACCCAATGCATCGTACTTCCCAGCCAGCCTCCTCCTCACTGCCAGCGAGGGGTAATTCACCTTATTCTCCGGATCCAGCCCCTCTCGCTCTGTCTTATGCCTCCGTTTCTTCTGCTCGTGCTTCTCCTTCCTCTTCCGTCCAGTATCGTCACTCTCATCATCATTTTCCCGTCTCTCCGCCTCTCTTTTCTGGAGTTTATCCTCGCCCATAACCCTACTCCTATCCATATTTCTCCTCCTCCCATCCTTCCTTGAGCTTCTCTGGTACTGCTCCTTTTCAGCCCGCCTCCTGCATTTCTCCTCCGCCTCTCGACTGACCACCCACGGAATCCTCAACACATCCTTTCGAAACGACAGAACTTCATTCCAGCATCGGACTTCCTGTTCCGTACTCCGCATCACCTCAACCTTGATTATCTCTACCTGTTTCATCTCCCGAAAGCTGCTTGGTTTGCCCTTTATCTTGACCACAGCACCAACATCGATGTCCTGCCATGGAACCCAGGGCGTCTCTACAGTGGGAGTGGGTAGTTCTTCTGGTTTTGCCGGCTTACGGATATCCGCCTTCAAGGCAGACGTTGAAGTCATACGGTTAGGGTCGGAGGCCTTGTCGAGGTGCGCGGGGATAGCTGGGCCGGGTGACGGAGGAGCAGGACATGTGCATTCGATGCACATGCCACTGCTATCATCAATGGTGAAGATTCTTCGGGCGAAGAATTCATCAATAGCTACTATGACGCCGGTGACACGCACCCATTTTATCGGGTGGTTTCCATAATGGTATAATTCTTTTCCTACAGGTTGTTTTAGCTATCAGCTCCTCAAATTCGCTATGGAAAAGATCGACAAGAAAGGGAAATCACAGTACCATTATCGAACATTCCCACACTCTGCAGGGCGTGCACGTCGACAGCTCGCAGCGGACACCATCTTCCGATCGTAGGAGATAACTCATGGCAATAATCGGGATAGATGTTAGATTTCTCATCGCCGAATGTCATGGCATGATTCACGGGTTCCGAGCAAAGCGCGGGTATGGGTTGGGGATAAAGGGTGTTGCTGGGCAAGAGTTGTTTGGTGAGACGCGTCTGGAATCGCGTGGCAGGTATCGGTCACGTGAAATCCCCACTGTAGGATAGGTAGAAACTCCCGCCGATCAAGAGGTAGGATACCAAGACTCAATGGAGGACTGGGGTAAAGAGAGATTTTAGTTATTGAAAATGCATGTTCCCATTTCTGTGGTATCAAGGACCAAATATAACTGCCATGGAGACGCCACTCTCATCGCATTCCCTCCCATTCCCGGAACTCCCTGTAAAGTTACATGGCTGAAAACTCCCAGTACTACTCAGCGCTTCGCTCGCTTTGCCTTTCGTCCCTCCGATGCTTCACCTCCGGCGGCAGCCTTCCCGTTCTTGAGCTTGGCCGCGGCCTTCTGGAATGCTTCCTCCGAGGGCATACCGTCTTCGTCTTCCTCATCCTCCGAACCCCGTTTCTTGCTTCTCTTGCCCTTTGACTTCTTGCTATTACCAGCGTATTTGGCCTCTAAATTATCGAGGAATGAGCTTCGTCCGGCCTGGTTCTTCTTGATCAAGGCAGCCAAGGCGCCTTCGCCGTTCTCTTTCTTCCCACCTTTTCCCTTTCCGAAAAGCTTCTCTTCGATTCCCAGCTCTTTGGCATAAGCCATGGCTTCCTCTCCCTCGCTCCTAGCAGCTTTGAACCTCGCCTCCTTAGCCTTTGTTGTCTCCTCCGTATAAGCCTTATATGCCTGGACCTCCCCCTTCGCAATAGCCTCGTCAATGATTGCCCTAAACCGATCCTCATCCTCCAAGGGGTCGCTCAACATGACCGTGCTATAAATCCCGTCCCATTTGCCTTTAAATTTCTTGAATGCCTCCAGGACAGCATCTTTCTCCTCGACAGAGCCCTTGTACTCCTTGGAGAACTTCTCGATGGCTTCAGATGTCACCACGTCCCGGAACTGCTCTTGGTAAAAGTCGCTCCAACTGAAGTCGTCGAAATCGATGGACTCGGAGGTTGAGCCAGTAACATCGTAGCGCTTTCGTCGGACCGGGTCAGAAAGAATAGCGTATGCGAAGGCAATCTCTTGGAATTTGGTTTTGGCTTCGTCCTTGAGGTCTGCGGGGGCTTTGTCTGTGGAGGAAGTAGTTAGCAGATAGCTCGTCGCAGTGGTAGTGGAGTATCGTCTTGAACCAAGATGATATTAACACGAGACTGCTACTGGCGTCGAGTAGCATACAGTGATAGAACGAAATAGGATTATACCTGGATGGTGCCTCAAAGCGGCTCTGCGATATGCGGACTTGACTTCATCAGCAGTCGCGTCTTTGGATATACCTAAGACCGTGTATGGTTCAACGGTGGGCGGTTCTTCATCAACAAGGTCTTCTTGGGGCGGTGCCATATTGGTAGTACCGTACCGGCGAGACGGGAGTTGAATATTATGTTATTTATGGTTGTTGACGGGGGTGTTGACTGGGGAAAATAAATGTTGTAACGAAGCCGACGCGTCGGGTCGTGTAAAGTGGATTTCACGATTCCATGATTCCACGAGTCCAAGATTCTGGCCTGACTTGAACGAAAAGTACCTACACAACCCTACAAGTGTGCAAGGCAGAAGCCAGGTAACAAGGGACCAGACCAGGAGCCAAGACACACTAGATTTACTCTCATCTTCTGCCCTATGCAGTTCGAATGACTTCTATTTCATTTCAATCACGGTCTGATTTTACTTGGCTCAGTGTACCTTATCAAATTCGCACGTCTTTGCTGCTTGACCATACGAAGTTAAGAATGCCACCCAGCTACTGGCATACATAAGGAGAAGAGTGGTCAACCTCATGGAATCCGGTATTCCTTGTCTGCTGTCGATGTCGATGCCGCGATGCGTGGTACACGGTACAGTGTGCAAAGCAAGGTACCTTAGGTACCGTAAGGTAGCACCTACCTACAGCTCCGGAAAGAATAGGCAGATTGCATCTGGGCTAATTCAATTAAACAAATGTTCCCCGAGCAAGCAGCTGAGGGATCTGCGATAATGGTTGGAGATGCACAATATCAAATAATAATAAAGACAATGTGAGAAAGGAATCTGAGGCTCCGCGGTAGGAAAAGTACAGTCCCGTATCGATAAGAATCTCTGCCTTGAATATCAGGGTCAAAATACTCTGCAGCTTCAATAATCCCACTACTACAACTCTCAACTCTGTGAGAAATCCCAGCTTCAACCCGCACATCTAGTCTCAAGGATTTGACAAAGTAGTCATTCCACTGAGGCCTTTTTACCATGGCCACCCACGAGCAGCTCGAGTCTACCTCCTCCCGCCCTGCTCTTGACCCTACCACCTCGAAAGATGTCGCATCCTCCACAACACAGAAGGCAAAATCCGCTCAAGCGGGCGTGGCACCTACTACGATTCACATTGGCACAAGGAAGTCCGCCCTTGCCATGATCCAGACCGACATGGTCCTTAAAGCCCTCAAAAAGGCCCATCCGGCGGATCAATATGAATATGAAGTTCATGCCATGAGCACTATGGGAGACAAGAACCAAATCACCGCCCTCCATAACTTTGGCGCCAAAAGCCTTTGGACCCATGAGCTGGAGGCTGGATTGCTAGAAGGACGATTGGATATAATTGTGCATTCTTTGAAGGATATGCCTACGCAATTACCACCCAAATGTACGATTGGCTGCATAATGGAGAGAGAAGACCCTAGGGATGCGGTCGTTATGAAGGCATCACTGAATTACAAGAGTCTTGCTGAACTCCCGGCCGGATCAGTCGTTGGCACCAGCAGTGTGAGGCGCAGTGCGCAGGTCAAGAGAAAATATCCACATCTCAAGTTCAAGGATGTAAGAGGCAATGTTGGAACGAGATTAAGCAAGCTTGATGCGGAGGATGGCGAGTATGCATGTCTGATATTGGCGGCTGCGGGACTGATCAGAATGGATCTTGGTGGTCGAATTACACAGTACTTGGACTCGAAGACCACTGGCGGTGGACTGTTACATGCCGTTGGTCAGGGTGCGCTCGGCATTGAGATTAGGGAGGGAGATGAGAAGATTCTCGATGTTTTGAGACCCCTGGTTGATCATGATTCTACGTTGGCAGGTACCGCAGAGCGGAGTTTGATGCGTACATTAGAGGGAGGATGCAGTGTACCGATTGGAGTCGAAACAACATGGATCGAGAAGGGAAAGATGTTGATGAAAGCCATCGTTGTTAGTCTTGATGGAACAGAAAGTGTGGAGGCTGAGAGATTAGATGAGATCCTCACTACGAAAGACGCAGATGAGTTTGGTTGGAGGCTTGCCCAAGACCTGGTTGAGAAAGGGGCATCAAAGATTCTTGATGCGATCAACCTCAATCGCCAAGTTATTGCAGAAGGTGGCGGAGCTTAATTCAAACCCCAGATGGGTGGGCTTTCATGTAGAAAAGGGTGGGAAAAGTGCATACATTCTGCTCGTCCCATGCCTGCGAATAGCTGGCTTTTTCTCCCGCTGCCAAGAAACTCCATGTGGTTATTGCACCTCGAATTCTAAGTGTCTGAGCTCCCTATGCTTCCTCCGTAAACGCCTTATATTGGGCCGCGTCCATCAACTCTTCCAAATCCTTCACTCCATTTTCGCCGACCTCCACTTTCGCGATCCATCCGCCGCCAGCTCCATCGTCCTCAGGGCCCTTGTTGATAGCTGAGGGCGTCTCCTCCAGCAGCTCGTTAACGGATGTGATTGTACATGTGATGGGCGAATTGATATCTGAAGCGGACTTCACCGATTCCACTGCTCCAATTGTATCGCCCTTGGCGACCTCTAAGGGTGTGGATGGGAGTTCGACGTAGACGACATCGCCGAGAGCATGTGCTGCATACTGTGATATGCCAATGGTGCCGGTCTTGTTGTCTGGGGAAAGCTCGATCCACTCGTGATCCTTGGTAAACTTCTTGACTTGCACTGTATAATCGTCAACGTCATACTGCCTTCACGGATGGAAAGATGGCATGGCCTCACCAGCACTGGACACGGAAAAGGCGCGGATGGCGATGGGGGAAGCGCTCGACGCGGCGACTCTCGCCTTTGAGCTCTGTGCGAGGCGCAAAGCCACTGGTCGCAGAGATCGTGCAATTGATGCCATGGTAGGAGGCCGGGAGCGAAGAGGGAGGTTAGTTAGGTCAGGTAGGAAGCACGGCAGACAGGCAGACGGCGGGGAGGCACAGCGGAAGGATAGATGGGAGCTCTGGATGCTCTAGCTCTAGATGCTCTGGATGTTCGGGGGGGTGCCCTGGGCTCTGGAGAATCGAGATTGTGAGGCTATACGGGGGGGGCCGTGGTTCAGTGGTATAATGAATAGTCTCGAGTTGCTTTTGCGCGCCAGCAGCTATTTATGTTAAACGTTAAACGAAAGCCACCCCACTACCGGCAAGGATGGGCTGGGAGGGTTCCGGGGGATCAATACCTTAAGACAGCAGGTAAACAGTAAAGACACGATGCCAATGGGAAAGACAGTTAACAAGTCAATCAATCCCCAGATCGACCAACCGTGGGCACTTGGGGCTGGGATGGCAGAGGCGGCGGCGCTCTTTATATAGACGACGCAGACCCCATAACGGTGCATTGCCGCTGCGTGGGTTTGGCTCGCCGGACCATCGTCCAAATGCCAATACAACCAATACTTCCCGACTTCTCAAGGAAATAAATCCTCCCATCCATCTTCTTAACGCGTCCAAGTCGCGTGCCGCTCCACCAAGCCTGTTTTCCAGAGGCCAGCAGCAAAGCAAGCATCCCATCCCCTCTACATACTATCGACGATTCCTCCCGCGTCTCTTGAGCTCGAAGCCCGGCCCTGTCGTTGACGCCCATCCGCACAACGTCTCCAGCCTGCTCTACTGTACCAGGGTCTCCGAATACCCTCATATCGACCCCCCAGCCGGTCCTGCCCCCCCCAAAAGCTGCCCTGATGCAACAGGTCAACGGCATCCGTGGTGTATGTAAATCCCAGTGTTGATCGCGCTTGTCAGCCGCCTTCTCCCGCTCTTTCGACCATCCCCTCCTCCCTTCTCCCAACTTCTTCCAGCACCTCAACCACATCCCTTGTGAAAATCACAAGGAGCCCCCGACAATCTGGATTCTTCCACTCTCTCAGTGGGCTCCCCAGCTCAATTCCCCGACGCTGTAAATACAATGGATAACGACGGTGCTTACGACACCCGAGAGGAGGGCATCGACGACACCATGGGCGGCACTGAGGAATCACAGCCTCCAACAAACAACAATGGCTTTGGCAATGCTGAACGACGGCATGGAGAGTCACAGTCGGCCGACTTCCTACCCTCACATCAAGCTTATGCCGCGTCTCCAACCCAAGATGTCGACCCCAACACCCGATATCCTCCTACCCCTCCTACAGCCATCGCTCCCTTGACCTCTCGTCCAAATTCTGGCTTGTCGAGCAACGGCGGGTACGGAAACGTACAGTCTACATATCAAGATCAGAATCCCCGCGCTGGTGACCAGAGCCGGAACAAGAACAGCGTAGTTATCAAGGTTGGCATGGTGGGAGACGCACAGATTGGCAAGACGTCCCTTATGGTCAAATATGTCGAGGGAAGCTGGGACGAAGACTACATACAAACGCTCGGTGTCAATTTCATGGAGAAGACCATTTCAATCCGCAACACCGAAATCACGTTCTCTATCTGGGATTTAGGGGGACAACGGGAGTTCGTGAACATGCTGCCTTTGGTATGCAACGATGCTGTGGCTATCCTGTTCATGTTCGACTTGACCAGGAAGAGCACTCTCAACAGTATCAAGGAGTGGTATAGGCAGGGCAGAGGTTTCAACAAAACCGCCATTCCCTTCTTGGTCGGCACCAAGTATGACCATTTTGTCAATTTTCCAAGGGAAGATCAGGAGGAGATCTCAAATCAAGTGAGTAGCTGGCCTCTTATTGTTGCGTAACCATCGAGAGAACTTCACTGATCCTCTTCAAATAGGCTCGCCGATTTGCGAAAGCAATGAGAGCAAGTCTCATTTTCAGCAGTACAAGTCACAGTATTAATGTCCAAAAGGTAATCCACCTGCACCCCTTCAAAAGAGCATTGCCTAGTCTAACACTGCCGCAGATTTTCAAGATCGTGCTTTCGAAAGCTTTTGATCTCAAATGCACAATCCCTGAAATTGAGAACGTTGGAGAACCCCTTCTCCTCTACCAATCTGTGGGTTAAGATAGATATAGACAGGGTTGTTATATCTTGGCAAGAGGTTTCTGAATGAATGTATAATGGTACACCTTCATGAATGACAGAAACCTGTGATGCTTGCACGATTTATGGCACGGAATCACGAATCGGCTGGCTGGATGAAACGAAGGTTATGTGGACATCTCTGTTCCTCTGTATCCCACCATTGCATATTGTCGTTTAGCAGGACGTTGAGGTGTCTACTTGATTTTTTTTATGTACTTTTGACGAGAACACAATGGAAGACTACTACAAGCTTGTTGTGAACCAAAGCTCATTACCCCCTAGGCATACATTGAACGAGTGGAAGACGAGAAATAAAAGAAGCACCTGATGAGAACTGGGGCATAATCCATCGGCACTAGCCGCCAAGGGCAAAGACAACAAGCCGCTACTATTATTTGGAGTCAATTAACCCTATACGCAAACCCTTGGACTAGAGCTGGTTAAAGCATAATTTTGAGATACCGGTAATAATACAACCTTTTTCTCTTCCCCACTTCTGCAGCTTCTCAACTGTATCAATGTCCTTCAAGGATAGAAGCTGCCCTCTTATCACTCTTAGTCTGCCGTACTTAATGTGTCATGGGAACCCTTTCAACGATACACCACGGGGTAATTTTCCTTCTATCTTATGGGGTTGGGAAACAAGGAATTGTGTAAGGGGGTTGTTTGTTAGGTAGAATGCCCAGTTAATCGAGCAGCTGACCTTTTGCTGCTGTCGACCTTGTTGTGTTTTGACTGCAAGAATCTGAACATCCCCTGTTCCTACCAGCGCTTTCTGAAGAAGCCGTGCCAAACGGCTGTGCGTGCTTGCGCGCAACAATATCCTTATCACTGTTGTTAGAACGCACATGACAGTGGCTGGGAGCAACCTGGAAAGTCTTGTTGGAATGCAGTTCCTTTGCAGCACTAGTGCTGGCAAAGTTATCGACGGCATATTCTTTGGATCTCTTCTCCTCTTTTTCATAGTACACAAGAACAGATCTGTCAATCGGACAATCACTGAAATCATGAAGATATGAAAGGTCGTCCCTCCCCTGCTGCAATGATTGTGCTTCTCTTGTATTTCTTGTTACTACCGGAGGCGGTAGCACCAGTGATCCAATGCTCTCACATTCAGTGAACCTACGCTCGGAGGATATGCCATCTTCGATGTCTACATCAAATACTGCGCATTCAACCTGGTGATAGGACTTCGGACGCGAATCAGCCAATCGATTCTCAACTCCATTGTTAGGACGTGCAGCTAATATATGCTGCCGTAAGCGCAAGTCTATTTCGTTTCTGGGAGCGAGAACGTTCCGATCTGGACCCTTTAAGTTTGAGGTCCTCGAGGTCATTTCGATTTCCTTAGAAGCAGATCTTTTGCTAGAAGTGAGACCCTCCATCACGGTGAGTAGATTCTGAATGTTTGGACCTTGGAGCCCAGTCACAGAGGATTTTGTATTTTTCCTGTGCTGATAACTCGCACCGTCAATCTCAATTGTAGGCCTCATGCCAGCATATCTGCGGTACTTCTGGAGCTTCTCACGAGCTAGTCTTCGGTACTGCTGAGACTTCATATTCTGTCCTTCATAAAGAGCATGGTCTTGAGGGCAGGACGGCGGGTCTGGGCCAAGGTAACTTGCGTGGTCGGAAGTCTCTCGAGGAGACACATACCTCATCGGCTGGATTCGAGCAGGCGGAGTCTGGGTAGGTCGGGCTTCTGCCATCCCGGTCATCCACCGTGAACTGTTGTCTTCAGATCTAAAACCGGCGTCATGTTCTATCTCGCCTTCTCTCGCTCGAACCTCCCGATCGTTTTGCATAGTAACGCAGGGCAGGCAGAGATAAGCCAGCAAGAAGTCGCTGAGGCAATCCCCATCAATGCCATAAATGGCACGAATACGATTGCGTTGAAAACCAGTGGCCACAACTGAATAGCCGCCTTATGTTAGCCTCGATTAGGCAAGACTTGCCAGGTAGAGTAGATATCGATAAGAGGGTACTCACAACCAAAACAGAGGAACGAATGGATCCCGCACCATGCCCAGCAAGACGAATTGCATCTTTCCGATCTTCTCCAACCGGAATCGTGGGGATCTCCACCTTTAACTATCTGACTGAGACGCCACTGGGTCTTCCCATACTGTACACAAGGAACAACACAGCTCAGAGTGCAGTTGCTACAGGTGTTTGGGGGGTCGGGGTAGAATAAAGCTATCATCCATTTGTCGTGAGACTCGTTACCAGGTTGGATTACGAGTGAAGTATCGTGTAGGTGCAGGTGTAAAGCTGGTAGATCCGCACTGTAGTGAACATTAGAACTGTTAGGCTGTGCGGTCACAGTGGTTGTGGGATTCTTTTGAAAAGCCATTATACAGATTTGCCGCGAGGCATTTGGAGAAAATGCGGCAATGTATCATGGCCTATAAAAGTGATAGGCGGAACACTGAAGTGAGGGTAATGATGGAGGTTTGAAAAGCGTCTCTGGCGGGCCTTGTTGAAGGGTTAAATGGCAACGGCCCCATTAATATTGAGGAATATCTGTAGTGATTAGAAGCGTCTTGGAATTTGCTCTGGATGGAGGACCTAGGACGCTCGGAATAGCAATGTTGTAACGCCAGAGATATTTGGTGCGTAACAATCGACCAGTGATGATGACGTTTGAAGAACAGATAAATATCAGCATATTGGTGGTGACTTCCTGTAATCAGTAGGATACCGGAAACAGTACCCGTAAACAATGGAAGTGGAAAGAAGCACCAGAAGTCAATTACGTGTTTTCCCTCAACCCCTTTTGATATTGTAATATAATGATACTGGACGATTGACTAGACATATATGTACAATATTGAGGAGACTTCCACGCATGATCTTGACGATCCGCAGCAGGCGTTGGTATTTACTTCTTCTCATGCTAGAACAGGGATTAAGTTAGCACAGCTCGAGGCCTACTAAAAGAGGACCATGGTTGTCAAAAAGAAGGAAAGTCAGACAAGAAGGGTTCATACAAGAGAAAATATTTACAGTGAATCACAACTATGCCTGTGGCCGCTTTGGATCAATGGTTCCCTTTGCCTTGGCTGTTTCCGGCATTCCTTCGCCCTTGTTGCTTTGCTCGGGATCATTGGTGATGTCGGTCGAGTGTTTTGTATCCGTGTTACTCAAACCTTCTTGCTTTCCTGACTGGGTGCCCGGACCACCGGCGGGCTTAGAGGCAGCAGGCTAGGCCATGTCAACGTCCGGTCTGATAACTAAGTGACTTATCTTCAAATACCTCATCCTTTGGTCCACCCTCACCAGATTCGGCGGCATCATCCTTTTTGTCCTCTTGAGGTTTCTCCTCAGGCTCGGCCTTAGGTTGCTCTTGGGGCTTCTCCTCAGGCTCGGTCTGAGGTTGCTCTTGGGGCTTCTCCTCAGGCTCGGTCTGAGGCTGCTCTTGGGGCTTCTCCTCAGGCTCGGTCTTAGGTTGCTCTTTGGTTTCCTCCTTGTGGCCATGAGATTTACCATGGTCTCCATCAGACGTCTCAGAACCTTGGAGGATGTACCAGCAGGTTGGCACTGTCACGACGACAGCTCCGAGGGCCCTAATGACGTATTTGTTGGCAAACTGTCGCAAAGATAAAAAGGCCTCATGATTGCATATCTTACCACGGGGCATCACCACTCGTTTGCGCCGACCCATGAGCACCAGTGGCATAACCTCGTCGAGCAACTTGCTGCCACAATTGGGGCCGAGCAACAGTAGGTCTGGCAGCTCGGAAGCAGGACCGGAATGCGGTAGCTCTTAAGAATGCCATTGCGCGGGAATGACGGCAGAATTAAGTCCAGGAACAAGTCTGATACTGGTAAGTAAGAGGAAGCGTAAGTGCCGGAGGAGTTTGGAAACCCACAGCCTCAATTGAGTCGAGAAGAGTGTTGGAAAGGAAGATGGCTGGATATCTGCCAGAGCTTCTAGAAGAGCTTACCTTAACCAACTACCTATGTCGTATAATAAAAATAAGCGATAAGGCACCAAGGCATCAAGTAACCCCACCACCACCTCCAGGTACTTTGGACCGAGTGCCTTTGGATTCCATCTCCCTCCCCTCGTCCTCCATATTCTTTTGATCAGTCTCAAAGGATATTTGACCCGTTCTTTGGTCGAGGACCCAGAGTGTGTAAGTTTCTCATCCTCATCCTCAAGCTCGCCACCCGCCGTGCGTGTTCTCGGATCCCACGCAGCGTCTGCTTAAGTACGGTACTGATAGCTTCCCCCTCTAGCAGGCCTCCTCTTCACCACGTAGGCGGTCACCCTCCTCGTACAAATTTACCTCTGGCCAGTATTCGACGCTTCTCCTCTGCCCCAACCTTCAACATGTCCAATCAAATACCACCAAATCCAACTTCTCAAACAGTAGCAGCGCTGCTACCTAAGCTCCATGATGCCGATCCTGACTATCGATTTATGTCCTTGAACGATCTCTTTCAAGTCCTTACTATTGGAAAGCAAGACTTTCTTTACAATGACTATAACACCGCTGCCAAGACAGTGGATGGCATCCTCAAAACCTTGGACGATCAAAATGGCGAAGTCCAGAACTTAGCAATCAAATGGTATGCTCCCTTCGTCATCTGTATTCAAGAGTCCATCTAACGACAGCAGTCTTTCCCCGCTTGTCACGAAGCTTCCTAGTAATATTCTGGCTCCTCTGATCGAAAGGTTGTCAAACCTCAACACAGAAAACTCGGTCGACAATTCTATCCCGGCAATGGCCCTTCGGACTGTCGTAATAACATTACCAAGGCCTATAAGTGGTGTGCCACCAACGAAAGAGGTTGTGGAAGCATATTCAGCCATTAGCAGGGTCCTGATCCCCAGACTCGTGGGACGGCTTGTTGTTCCTAAGGCAACAAAGCTCCTCAAACTTCCTCCCCCGCCACCAGGGATGCTTGATCTTGAATCAAACAAGGAGGTTGATCCAGAGGCTGTGGATGTTCTGATTGAGGTGGTTAGATGCTTTGGACCCATGCTACAACAACAAGAGGTTGAGGCTCTCCAATCTCTCCTCGTTAGCATTCTGGAAACCGATAGAGCAAGTTCGGTTGTGAAGAAGCGTGCAGTTGTTGCAGTATCCATCTTGGCCATGTACCTTGCAGATGATGACCTCAGCGGTTTTGTTTCCCAACTCATCGAAAGTCTCCGGAATCCACACCTTACCCTGATCCAAAGGCGTCTGTATATCACCATACTCGGGTCTATGGCTCGATCTATCCCTACCAGATTTGGCCCTTATCTGAAAACTCTCGCGCCTTTTGTCCTATCAGCCTTGAGCGAAGAAGAGCTATCAGAGCAACGTGAAAATTCTTCAGAGGATGGTGAACCGGATCCCGAGATGGATGATGTACGTGAGGCTGCTCTTGTAGCTTTGGAAGGATTCCTCGCTTCTTGTGGCAGTGAGATGCGGGCCTACACCGAGGAGATAATTGCTGCCGCCCTCCGTTTCCTCAAATATGACCCGAACTATAACGATGACGGTGATGAGGAGATGGGTGGAACTCAATCAGAGGAAGACGATATGGATGATTTCGATGAGGATGACGACTTTGAGGTGGATGGTGGATTCGATGATGACGATGATGATGCTAGCTGGAAAGTCCGACGGTGTGCAGCAAAGACCCTCTACACGCTTATCTCAACGCGCGGAAGTGGTGACTTGCTTGAAGATGGAACGCTGTACTCGCAAGTTGCCCCAGTACTCGTGCAGAGGTTCATTGAGCGAGAAGAGAATGTCCGTCTGGAAGTCATTGCAACAATGTCTTCCCTAGTCCGAAAGACTGGGGAAGGTGTGCTCGTCAACTTATCAGCCGATGATGGAGCAGATTATATTAACCATGTTCCTCAGAGCCGGAAGCGAAGGCGGGAGAGTAGCAGCACTGGGAATTTCGATACCAAGACATTACCATCAATGTCCGCCGGCCTCACCTCGCCCACTGTTGAGCCAGTTCCACAGTCGGGCCCTAGAGCAGATCTGTCACGGCTGAGCCCTGCAATCATCAAGGGAGCAACAAAGCTCTTGAAAAGCAGTTCAATACCATCAAAACAAGCCATTGTCAACCTTCTAGATGAGATGATCTCCGTTCAAAACGGTGGCTTGTCTGAATTCTTCGCTCAGATCATCGATCCCATTATTGATGCTATCAAGTCATCATCTGGCTCTACAGGATCTTCGGGCACCATCGGAAATAATGGAGCTACTTCCGCAACTGTTAATACCTTGCGAATAGCTGCACTTCGCTTAATTGGTGATATATTCAAAACACATCCCTCTAGCGTTTTACAACCGTTTCTGCCAAAGATTGTACCCGGTGTTGTATCGGCTGTCAACGATAAGTACTATAAGATCTCCGGCGAAGCTATTGGTACTGTTGAACAGCTCTTAAAGGCTTTGACACCACCACGTTCAAAATTGATGGATCAGAATCATCAAGCAGATCTTCAAAAACTGTATCAGGTCGTCGTTAACAGGGTCTCTGCTACTGATGCCGATTTGGAAGTCCGTCAACGTGCAATTCATGCTCTAGGTATTTTATTGGCCCGCACAGCAAGCCCTGAGGGTACCTCACTTCTACCAGCTGCCGACCGAACTACTGCGTTGAACATTTTGAGCGACAGGTTGAAGAACGAGACGACCAGGCTTGCTGCAGTTCGAGCTATTGACACCGTCGCGGCCTTGTCGACGACTACTGATCAACTACAACCTGAATGGATTCGAGGAGTCTCTCTTGAACTATCTGCACAGCTTCGGAAAGCCAACAGGTCGCTGCGCGGTGCCAGTCTTTCTGCGTTAAAAAATCTTGTCGTTGCACCAGCAGCCAGTAGTTCTCTCGATGTGCCAACAATCGAAGGTCTGACCAGCGCTCTTCTCCCTCTTCTCACGACTGTTGACCTGCACCTCCTGGGTCCTGCACTACTTGTTCTCGCTGCTCTTGTCTCCGATGAACCACAAGTTGTGGTCACGGATCAATTGAATGTCGCCCTTTGTGGTTTATTGACTTCTCCACTCAGTGGTGCTGTCCTCGAGGCTATTCTTGCTCTAGTAACAAATATCGGTCGTAAAGCAGTCGGGCAGCAATTGATGGCCGGGCTCTTGAAAGATGTCAGTATCAACGGGGACCCCGCCGTCGTTGGCAAAGTCATTGGCACCTTACTGGTGTATGGAGGATCGTCTGTCGGTGTTACCATTGACAACTTCATGGAAGAATTGCACAATCCTCAATCTGAAGATGCAAAACGGAGCCTGGCTCTTGCTGTCCTCGGCGAAGCGGGATTGCGCTTGGGTGGAAAGTCGCCTTTAAAACCATCAACCTTCACGGCACAATTTGATTCGCGATCTGACAAAGTTCGCCTTGCAGCTGCAGTGGCCCTAGGCCGTGCTGGTGCTGGAAACATTACAGTCTATCTCCCTGAGATCTTATCTACAATGGATAAGGGTGGTAATACTCAATACTTACTTCTTCATTCTGTTAAGGAGATTCTGCAGCAAGCAAGTAATAGTCTTGCCGACATTAGCAATTACACTAAATCGATCTGGAGCAGATTACTTACTGCATCCCAAGCTGAAGACAACAAGGCCGTAGGCGCGGAATGCATTGGTAGGCTTGCAATTATTGATCCGAAGACCTATATGCCACAGTTGCAGGTACGTTACTTATCCTGTGTGTTAGTTGACTGACTGACCCTTTCTCAGTCTTACCTGCGCGACGAAACCCCGTCTATCAGGGCTATGGTCATTCAAGCCATTCGCTACACATTGCCTGACAGTGACGAAACGTTCGATGCAGTGCTCAAGACAACACTAATTGATATGCTCATTATCATGTTACGTGATACTGAACTTGAAAACCGACGTCTTGCACTAACAACGTTGAACTCAGCTGCTCACAACAAACCTGATCTTATCATTCCAAACCTTGGTCAATTATTACCTCTAGTGATGAAGGAATCGGTCGTCAAGCCTGAGCTGATCCGAGAAGTTATGATGGGCCCCTTTAAACATAAAGTTGACGATGGCCTCGAAGTTCGAAAGGTATGTTCCCACCTAATTCTCATATATAGAAATCAATACTAAGTCAGAATAGAGTGCATATGAGACACTGTACTCATTGATGGAGACCGCATTTTCAAGGATCAACATTCTCGACTTTTATGATCGCGTTATCGCCGGTCTGAAGGATGAACATGATATTCGGGCCCTTTGCAATCTCATGCTGACCAAGCTCCTCGTGCTGGATCCTGATGAGACATCAAGGCGTTTGGACTCTATTGCAGATTGCTTCCGAACTATCCTATCTACAAAACTAAAAGAAAATGCCGTCAAGCAAGAGATCGAGAAGCAAGATGAGGCAAGCAAGAGTGTCCTCCGGGTCACATTGCTGTTGCACGGCGCCATTCCTGCAGCCAGTAGTGGCATGGGCATTCATGGAAGCCAGCATCAGACTTGGCGAAATTACTGGGAGTGGGTTGAGAAAGATTTCGAGTCACCCCTAAGGGCATTGCGGGATGAGAGCAAGGAACTCTCCTTCTGATCGATTGAGGTTTGCAAGGTTGTTAAACTTGTGATAATGAGACATGGACATGGGTGAGGCAGGATGTTTATAAACGACGGCCTGAACCGGGACTACATCGCATAGCTTGCGCTGGATGGGCGTTTGACAGTTCCAAAACATTGGGCTGCTTAGATAAATAAAAATATATCTCAAAACCAGTATGACTCGATATTTGCACGAGGAGGGCAAGATGTTCAGCAACTTCTTACTGGGAAGACCCCCATAATTATACAACGCTTTATGTTCCGGCCAACACCTTCTATTGTACAATCTGATAGAAGAAACAGCTCGAAGAGAGGAGATGGGGTTCGTCAATAATCTACAGAGTATAACGAACGAGAAGGGATCAAAGGAACTCCTTTCCATGCCTTCCCACCATAAGAGCCAATATTACAGTAAGCCCCCCTTCCCCGCACAACAACAAAATCAAACATCACCTTACCACAGTTCTTCACTTGAGAATTCTTGTGACGATCCCAGTCCCAATGGTCCGTCCGCCCTCACGAACGTTGAAGCGTTGTCCAACCTCAAGGGCGACAGGGTTGTAGATCTCGCATCTCATCTCTACATTGTCCCCTGGCATGACCATCTTCGAATCCGCATCGGGAGTGCCGTCCGGCCAGAACAAGGCAGCCGCCTCATCAGCAGTTCGGATAAACATTTGGGGTCGGTAGTTTTGGTGGAATCCAGTGTGTCGTCCCCCTTCCTCCTTGGTGAGCACATACATAGAGACCAAAAACTCCTGTGTGCCTTGGTGGTTCCTGGCTGAGCAATAACCATTCCTCGCTTGACATCCTCACGCTTGACACCTCTGAGCAAGAGACCAGAGTTGTCGCCAGCCCTTGACTCATCACAGGACTTCTTAAACGTTTCAATGTCGGTGACCTTGGTCTTGATTGGTTGATCTCCCTTTCCTACAAGCTCGACCTCCGAATCTCTCTTCAATACGCCACGCTCGACTCGACCGGATGCAACTGTGCCACGACCCGGGATTGAGAAGACATCCTCAACAGACATCAAGAACGGTTTGTCGAGATCACGTTGAGGAGTTGGGATCCAAGTGTCAACGGCCTTGAGAAGCTCATCTATCTTCTCGGTTCCGATCTCGGGTCTCCGTCCTTCCAATGCACAAAGAGCGGAACCAAGGATAATTGGTGTCTCATCGCCTTCAAACCCATAGGTGTTCAAAAGCTCTCGCATCTCCATTTCGACAAGTTCCAACATCTCTGGGTCCTCGAGAGCATCTACTTTGTTGACAAAGACGACGATTTTCTGTACACCAACCTGACGGGCGAGCAGCAGATGTTCTCTGGTCTGGGGCATCTGTCCGTCCGAAGCAGCAACGACAATAACAGCTCCATCCATATTTGCCGCACCAGTAATCATATTCTTGATGTAATCTGCGTGACCTGGGCAGTCCACGTGGGAGTAGTGACGGTCCTCGGTAGAGTACTCGATATGCGCCGTCGAGATCGTGATACCACGCTTCCGTTCCTCGGGAGCCTTATCAATGGCACCGTACTCAAGGAAGTTTGCAAAGCCCTTCTCAGCCTGTCTCTTTGTAATTGCAGCAGTGAGCGTGGTCTATAGAAAGCATTAGTAGTTGACCGTGGCCGCGAGCCTATAGTGCTGTACCTTTCCATGATCGACATGACCAATAGTGCCTAAAGACATCAGTTAATGACTACAAGTAGATTATACTAGAAAAGCAGCATACCAATATTAACATGGGGTTTTGTCCGCTCGAACACGGTAGCATATGAGCGGGCAGCGTTCAACACGGCAGCGCCATTTTGTCGTCGCAGAGCGTGCTGTAGAGGACTGACGGAATTGCCCTGCTGCAGCGCAGACCGGGCAGTCCGCAGAAAGGGATTGACTGACCGCGCAAATACCTGCATTGTCAAGGAATGGAACACAATTAAAGAAAGGAGAACGGAGGAGGAGAACGGAGACAGACGGGGATGATGGTTGATATTCTGGTTCCCCGAGCTCTCGACATTTATTATTTTTTAGTGTTGTTTAGGTAAGGCTGGCTTAGCTAAGCCTATCTGGTCTCACGTGACACTTATGACCCCCTATTTGAGGCTGCTCGCTTATGCTTAGGTATAGAGGCGATTGCAGTATTAACGTACCTTTACCTTAAGGTACTTATAGCATTGACTTCTCGGTCTACCTACCGTAGGTAGGTACCTACCTACCACCACTAGCTCATGTACTTTGTAACAGTCCATTTATCAAAGAGAGAGTCTTGTTCTGGTCAGTTCGTAGGGCACTTCAACCAACAACGGCCAGTCGTATTAGCGGATCCGGGCAGCCCAACGAATTTCATCTCCCTAGAGGTTGGCTACATTCTTTCAAAATAACCATTCTTCCCAAGTTGTTCCAAACTCGAGGGTCATTGTCTGGTGAGTATGGGTGGCTTCGTTCTTCATTCGCCATCTAATAGCGGTGATCGAAATGACCTTCCAACCTTTCTAGAAACTCTCTTCAATATCCGTTACTTGGTCGCCCGCTCCATCTAAGGCAGGCAATCAAGTTCATGTTGAGCTTCATAGCGAACGCCCTGCCTACACAGATTACACAGGTTCGACATCTTATGACGCACGAGTTACGAGCAGTGGTGTCACTGTGTTAGTCTCGGCGATGCTTCCATCAGGATCAAGGATATGGTCACACTATCAAGCATTGTTCGACCAACACGGTCTGGAAATAGAGACGAGGGTATAACTTCAAGTGATAAATGGCCAATTGGCAACCATTAGGAGAGTGGAGGTGTGATATGCCCCGTAGCTACCTAAATGCCAGTCGACAGCTCAAGATAATATCGGGCTCTTTCTCTGGTCTTAAGAAAGGACTGCTTCCTACCGGCATACTTCAGGGCCGATGGGATAACTTGAGTCTGCACACCTCTGTAGAAGTCTACTCATATGGCTCCGTTTGCCTCGGAAATAGAAGAAGAAAACCGATAAAGAATATCAGGCAAGGTAGAGAAAAGAACCTTCTGGTCAACTCCGTCTACTAACATATTACCTTACCTTACCTACCTAACCTTACCTACTGATACTACCATGCATGATAAACAGATAGATCTACGGAGTAAGTTCATAATTCCACTCCGTACTCCGTTACTCCGTAATACCTGCTCCTGAAGCAGAAGGAGGGAGGAACTTGATACGCTGATAGCGGCACCTTCCCTAAAAGGATCGAGAATGCCCGAATGTCACTCCTGTCTTCTTCACCGCGCCGTATTCTTGTACGGCGCCCGAAGGATGGTTAGGTACGGAGTACTGTACAACGGGCCTCGGGATACTCCGTACCTTACCTTGCTTAGGTAAGTATCTGACGCGGAGATATGATCTTCCAGGTACGTACTCCCTCCCTCTCCCATTATTGTCTCTTGGATTCATGGGCCATAACGACTATCGTCCCTCTAAAGTTCCTTTTACATCAGACTCCCGACTCCCTTGCCTACTACTCCGTATCTACGGATACTACTGTACCTACACAGGCAAGTAGTCTTGTCTTGCTTACCTACCTACCTACCTAAGGTACAGTAGGTACTGCTCCTACGGTGCATGAAGCGACTAGGTAGTCCCTGTCCTTCCTTTCATTCTGCCCCTCCACTCTCCAACCCCCCCGCCCCGGCCTATAGGAATGCAATGGAGCGCAGCCCGTTCATCCATGGCCCTGAAAAGGAGTCGGCCGGCTCAACTCGTCCCACCCAATCCTCTCCTCTGCCACCGGCATGCCCCTAAGTAGACGCGCAAAGTGCCGCTTTTCTCGTCTCTCGCCTTCTACTCTGGGCTCAGGGCTCTCAAGACTCGAGCTGAGCCAAGCGCTCCTTCACCAACGAGGCCAAGCACTCCTTGGAACCCCCCCCATTTGCATAGTCCTCCTCTCATGGGGAAAGGGTACAAAGTAGGCCTTCTCCCGTAGGCCTAGCTCTCCACCTCTCTTGCAAGAAGATCCCAAGTAGAACCGCTCTTGGCTGCACGTCCCTGTCTCTCTCGTCATGGCTTCTTTCGTCTCCCGGGCCTTGGCCGTCTCTCTTCTTGCCCTTCCAACAGCCCTCGCGGGGTCGCCAAAGTCTTGCTTGAATCCTCAATTGAGTTGTCACAATACCACAGCCGTGTCCGATACTTGCTGTTTCAATGCGCCCGGTGGTCAGCTTCTGCAGACTCAGTTCTGGGATACTTCCCCCAGCACTGGTATGGCACCAACAATTTGTAGCTCTTCCCCTCCTCTCCAACTGCTAACAACTTACAGGCTACTCAAACTCATGGACAATCCGTAAGTGTCTTGTGAAGTGCTTTGCCTCCTTCCAGGGGTCGGTACATGACTAGCAGGAGATGCCTTCTAGACTGTGTCTGACTGTCGGCATATCCTGCAATCCTTGGATGCTCTTCTGAAGCTCCTGTCCTATTCTAATCGAACATTCACTGATCGCTGTTTTCCCTAGACGGTCTCTGGCCTGATCGCTGTGATGGAACCTATGATTCGAACTGTGATCCTAGTCGTGCCTACACGAACATCACTGCAATCCTCGAGTCATATGGAAAAACGGATCTTCTTGCCTATATGAACTCCTATGTATGGAACATCCCTCTTTGCCTCCTTTTCTCACCGGGCTTTTCTTCTTTCAACCACTCTGGTCATGCTCTGTTAGTGATCGACAGTAAATCATGATTACGAAGTGCTAACATTGCAGTGTTCTAGTGGGTGGATAACACTGGCGACAATGAGAGTTTCTGTGAGCACCTACACCTATCTTTCAATCATCTCATTTGATGGCTAACCTTTAAAAGGGGAACACGAGTTCTCGAAGCATGGAACGTGCATCAGCACGTTTGAGCCTAGCTGCTATACTGACTACACACCGCAAGAAGAAGTTCCCGATTTCTTCCAGAAAACCGTGGATCTCTTCAAAACCCTGGACACTTACACGGTATTTATCCCAGGCATTCAACACCAATATGTGATACTAAATTTGCCAGACCCTTGCAAATGCGGGAATCGTTCCATCAAGCTCAGCAACCTACACTTCTGCTCAAATCCAAGCAGCATTTAAGAAGTCGTTCGGATACGAAGTTACAATTCAATGCAGCTCTGGCGCGCTAGACGAGGTTTGGTACTCCTTTAACGTAAAAGGTTCCGTCCAGTAAGTGTTCCCGGAAGCACAACCTGTTTGTCTTGGAGTGATCTATGCGTTTTAAGACCAAGAGTATCATGCGAGCACTGGACCTTGTGCCTATAGTTAATTATTACCCCGAAAGGGACCATTATATGGGCATGGCATATAACTCATTGATCTTCTATAGAACTGGAACCTTCGTTCCCATGTCACCTGTAGGATCGACTTCGAACTGTCCTTCAACTGGTATCAAGTACCTTCCGAAATCTGGCAGCCCGGCGCCAACTACAAGCAGTGGTGCTTCCTCAACTTCTACCAGTAGCGCATCCCCAACCACAACCAGTGGTGCGTCTCCAACTACAAGCAGTCCGACCTCCACTCCCACTGGAGGGAGCGGTACGTTCTCAGGTTCAGGTACTCTCGATGTTCAGCACACTTCCAATCACCTACTGACCTTAAAAGGTTACCTGAATGCATACACGAATGGTAGCCAGGTTGGCTGTTTGATCAGTTCTGGAACATGGTATACGAGTGGGACTTGCGCTACTTACACCGCCAAGGCATCTGGTAGGTTTGTCGGGAAATAGGGCTATGAGCAAGCTGACAAAGTGTGGTCCAGATTCTGGATTCACGTTGAAATCGTCGAAGGGCTCATGCGGGATCTCCAATTCACTCTTCACTTGTGGATCTGGGGTCACGCCTACAGTTTTCACCGTAGGTTCCTTTTCACTTTGAAGTTGAATGGTGCTAATGCACGTTAATAGGCTAGTAACGGATACCTACAATACAGCGGGAGTTCCGCTTTCTATGCTGCTGCTGTTCCAAGCGGATCAACACAGCAGAAGGTATACACAACCTCGGAGAGCGTGGAGATTTCTTTCCAGTGGCAGAGTGTGTGAGGGGAGGCAGAAACTGATAGGGACAGTGGGCGGGTTCTGAATGATATCAATGCGGCCCCAACCAAATCAGAAAAGGAGAGGGCTTCCAGCTATATTATATATCCGGAAACCCAGCCAGCCAGACGACCTCCTTGTCTGGATTGACACCCGGGATTGGGGTGGTTATAGCAGCAGAACAGCCAGAAATATTATGCTCATAATTTGTACTTCTGACTTATTTTATTAAGTGAGAGGAGGCTCCTGAGGAGCCTTAAGTCTTGTAGAGCCAGCCCGTATATAGATGGACCAAATAGAAGCGTCCCAACACTTAATTCGGTCCCAATTCGAATGGAAGATCACGTGCAGATAAGGGTCGGCAATGACGCCAACATCACGGGCGCGGGAGTGGGAGGAAGCAATGGGCAGCACCGCATTTCAAAGCGAACCAGAGCTTTCTCCGGAAATCAATCAATGCCCTTCTCAACCCTCACCAGGCCACTTGTTCCGCGCTCTTTGCGAGTCCCTACCACGAGTACAAAAGTAGGTAGCCTTTAGACCACCGGCTCCTGGACCTGATAGCCAACCTTACTGACCGTGACAGCTTGCCCTGCCCCCAGTCGCACGCGCCATGCATATCCAGTCGATTCCTATGTGTAAGCCCTGCGCTTCTACTCTCCCTTCCAGCAATGTCAGTAAGGTTGGCTCCTAACGCTGTGCGCAGGGACGGGAAGTAGTGATAACTACGCCTACTTGGTCGTCGATGACAAATCCAGAGACGCCGTTATCATTGACCCTGCACATCCCGAGGAGTATGTATACAACTCTGGGAGCTGGAAGAGCAAGTCACACTGACGAGAATAGAGTGGCACCCGTATTAGAGCGGCAGATAAATGAAGGCAAGATCAACCTAACTGCGATCGTCAATACACATCAGTACGTCCCGGCCGGCTGTCCATCAAGGTATTTTATTAACAACTATCAGCCATTGGGACCATGCGGGTGGAAACAAAAAGCTTGTAAGTCTGAGCGCCCTCTCCTATAGGACATGAATTGCTAACCATCACCTCCATAGCTCACAGTATTCAAAGGCAAGCCTGTAATAGGTGGGAAAGACTGCGAAGGAGTTACGAAAACACCGAAAAATGGCGAGAGCTTTAAAATCGGGGATATTTCCGTCAAAGCATTGTATACACCATGTCATACGCAGGATAGCATTTGCTGGTTCATGGAAGACAGCACCGGAAGGGTAGTGTTCACTGGAGACACTCTCTTTCATGGAGGTATGTAGCCAAAAGATGCTCGCTAAGACCCATCCATTCTGACGGTTTCTTCCAGGATGTGGTAGATTTTTTGAGGGCACAGCAGAGGAGATGAACACGGCTTTGAATAAGACTCTTGCTGCAATTCCCGATGACACAAAAGTCTTCGTATGGCCACAAACCCCTGCTTTGGAAATCCTCTAATCATAACTAACGAGTATAGCCTGGCCATGAATATACGAAAGCCAATGTCAAATTTGCCATCTCGGCTCTTCAGAGCGAGCCCGTCAAGAAGTTACAAGCCTTTGCCGAAAACAACAAGGAAACACAAGGCAAATTCACAATTGGCGATGAGAAGGTAGATTCCTTTTGGTTCAGAAGAAGACATCCATGCTGATAGTATTATTTAGCAACATAATGTGTTCATGAGAGTTGATGTAATGTCTATTGTCGATCAACGCTATACCACGCAAACTAATGTCAAGCAGGATCCTCTGGTACAAAAAGCAACTGGGAAAACTGATCCAGTGGAGGTTATGAGCAAGCTTCGTGAGATGAAGAACAGTTTCAAGTGAGTAAGTAGTATGGATGTCCGCCTGACTTGTGTTTCGAGACCACTAAAGACTTTGAATAGACCAGCGGAAGCAAAGATTTGAGAGCTGGTGGTGGGTATACCGTATATGCCCAGAGTCCCAGACGAACAAAAGGTTTCGGATACGATATTGTTATTATATCAAATTGTATATCAAAGCGCCTCTGGATTCATTCCGTTCGGGCCCTCTTGTCCGCTTTGTGCCCATATTACTTACTGAAGGTACTTCGCACTCTGCCTGCTCATCTAATCATCTTTGCTATCTCACCATATCATATATGACTCCAACTTGGACCGAATCAGAATCAAATCATTGAGACCTATCTTTCTCTTTCTGTCTCTTGTCGATTATTCCCAGCTCTCAATTCTACGTTTATTCTTGAATTCTCATGAAGAACCTCGAAGATGGGATACCTCGTCCATCCCCACAATGACAAACAATTAGACCCACGGTGTCACTTGCCCGCCGGTCACGAAAAAGAACTTCCTCGAGGCCGGTGCTTCTGCAACGCAATCCTTCGCGATTGTCAAAGCCATCTGAGCTCATCTCAATGCCTTCCATGTCTGTTATTTTGATCAATGTCTCTCGGTGAAAGTGAAGCATTTCATTGCACTTTGAGTGCTGATGTACACCCTAGGGATTCTTATATCCCTACGATTATCTACATAGATACTTGGCAATCATGAGATAGAGGGGAGGGTGCTGATTAGATATGCACCGTAAATAAAAGGCAAAGTCTCAGATGGACATGTTTTTGATGATTTACCCACGTGTTCTCCCTGCGTGAAACATCACTGGTACACAAATTCACAAACCGGCGATCAGATCGGTGTTGGAAGGTTTGATGGCGCTATTTGCGTCTTCACACGGCAATCAACTCAGGAGTCAGAAGTTCTGTACTCGCATAGAGTGGGGTTGAATAGCTAGAAGCCCCATTGGCTATATATTCTAATGTCCTACTAATCTTGTCTCCAAGAAGCACCAAACACCAAACTCATTTAAGGAGCAAAGTAGCCAGGCACTCCTGCGGAAGGTCTCGAAGAATCAAAATCTCGACCGGATGTCATTCTTGCTTCACTGTCCACACTCGCACGCTCTGAGCTGAGACAACGACGAGCTCTAGCATTTATTTAGAAGCTGTTTTAACCTTTGTATCTGCTCGCGATCTGGAGGATTGATCGACTCCAATAGCTTCGAGTATCGAAACCTTCAAGAAAGAATTGCACAAACCTTCATCCAAGATTGAGTGTGACAGAGAAAATGTAGAAGGGTTTCGGTCTTGTTGTTGCAGATCTATGTACCCAAGGATGGTGTTGTCTTGCACAATCCGATGATTCTTTAGAGATCGAAGGAAGGAAATAAAAAAGAATTTCAGCAAAGGTTTTTCTACTGCGGAACCGAAAGATTAGTAATAAACCAACTACATAGCCGAGCTCCCGATTGGTCAACCTACTTGCAGCCTCAGCCTCGCATCTTTCGCGACTCATACAGTATCGCGACATCAACAGCCTTCTCAACGGATCAAGGTTGCGCAATACAATGGTAAGCCTCTAACGTAACCCCTAACTGCATATATATACATACGCCTAACAGCATATTAGCCTGCCAAACGCCGCGCCCCGGCCCCGGCCCCGGCCCCGGCAGTGGCATCCATAACGCCCAAGAACCGCCTGTCCAAGCTGGCAAAAGAGCACAACATAACCAGTGGGGAGGAACAAGAAATCCGAGAGGCTTTTGCACTGTTTGCGCATGAGAAGAAGGGTGAGAAAGAAGGTGTTATATCCATCGGTGATGTTAGGCGCGCCATGATGTACTCCCCCACCCGCTCCCCCTCCCTACCACTCTCCTTAAATATCCCGCCCCGCATTGGCTTTGTGAAAGTTTTATGAAATACATGCTGATATACAATCTTATAAAGTGCGCTTGGTATTCCGCCATCTCCTGAAGAACTCTCGGAGTTCATATCGATTCTTGATCCCGATAATGAGGGTTTCGCAATCTTCAGCTCCTTCGTCGCAATTTGCTCCCTCAAACTACACAATCGTACCCGGACATTAGAGTCACATAACCAGGAAGTGGACGAGGCATTCAGGTTGTTTACAAGTGGGGGAGGAGAGGAAAAGATCACCCTTGCGACTTTAAAAAGGGTCGCGAGGTCGTTGAAGGAGGACGTTGACGAGGAGCTCTTGAGGGATATGATTCTGGAAGCTAATGGAGGCGCAGGCGTTGGCAGCGGGGTGGAGAAGGATGAATTCGAGAACGTTCTGAGAAGGGCTGGCGTTTGGAGGTAGTACGTTGGGCTGGGAGGGCGTTTGGTCGGGCATCGCTTGTGGAGTTTCCGGCATTTGGGAATAGGTTGGTCCTCATGAAGGCGTTCTAGATGACAGATTGCTTAGGTCAAGATGGATCGTGTTTAATTTTGTCTGCAGAAATGCTGGTAGCTATGCAAGACACAGAAGCATTCAGTCGCTGCTCCGAGATGTATAAAATGGAAACCACGTTGTATTTGAAAGCCCGTTATCACTATACCTCGTTATGTTCTGGGGTCCTCCGCTGCTGGAGCAGAGGCGGTAGTCATGTTGGTTGATGCCTTGAATCCTGCATGATCTGAGTGCTTTTTATAGAAGTAGTTATCCGGTTTTGGCTTCAGTTCTTCGGGAAGCTCTTCCAAGACCGTTGCCAGTATAGCATCGATTGACTTCTGCTTTGAGGCATCCCTGTGCCAAATGGATATGAGGTGTGAGTTGAACCGGACTGAGAGACCGACACCGCACAGTTGATCACCTGGCTGGGTTAATCCTGCTCTGCTTTAATCGTTTGAAACTTACCAAGCTCGAGACAACTTTGCAGTTTCTCTCCAATAGCCATCAACTGAACTCTCGTCCAGAAATTGGGCCCATTGAGTTTTGGTACTCTGAAGGTCCAACTGCCACCATTGATGTTCCTTCTATCTTCCCACACTGGCTGAAATCCTTGTTTGAACAAGTATATTGATTCACGCATCTTGATTTGATCTACTGGTGTATTGTTGTTGTAGCGCCAGAAGTCCTGGACGGACTCAATCTGCGAGCCAAGCTGCTCGAGGGTCGCCTTATACGTTTCGCCCGAGGCCTTTTGCTGATCCTTCTGCTGCCTGTGAGAATAGTCAGCCACTATCTAGCTACATGCATCTAAGCCGAACCGACCTATCGAAATACACATTCCAGTAATGCTGGGTTGGTAACGGTCGCATTGCCTTCAGCATATTCTTCTTCGCATCGTCACGCTGTTCAGCAGGAGAACCAGTATCGCTGAGCGCAGAAGCCGTTGACAGGCCTCTGGTCATAAGGGACGGTCGCATCGCCATTGTTTCTCAGCCTTCTGCCTGACTTTGGGTCGGGTTTGACAGCCTCCAGGTCCCGCAGTGCAATGAGTGATAAGAATTCCAGGCTTCAAAGTCACTGGGTATTGGGGGAGGCGGCGGCAAGGGTAGTGTCGATTATAGGGATAGAACGAAGAGGTGATTCGGGGAATCAATAACAATGGAGAGCAGCATAGAAGAAAGAAGGGCAGCGGAGGAAGAGGTCGGGAAAGGCAAGAGCAAGGGCAAAAGAGATAGCAAAAGCAAAAGCAAAAGCAAAGGGCAAATGGGTTCACAGCGGTTGGACAGAGGAGAGGGAAGATGTTTGGTTGTCGTAGACTCGTACGGAGTAGGTATGTGAGACTGAAACGCGAGGCGCCGTGGACCTCGAGTTGGAGTGGAGTGGGGTAATTGTTCTACAGTCTTGCAGGTACTACAGTAAGTACTGCCTATCTAGGTTAGACACGGTAACTAGGCAATAGTAGTTGGGGCGACCTAGCTTGTTTGAGGTAAATCACAATGTGTAACAGGCTAAAGTGAAACGGCTGATCCCGATTCCCGTCGCGCTCCAAGTTTCGCGAATCGCGCCTAATGCCTACTGACTGGGCGCTTAACGCTTAATTGTTAGAGCTACTCTGTATGGAGTATAGTACGTATCTGCAGATTCCACCTTACTCTCACAGGAAAAGTGCGCTCGCTTACCCTAGCTACCTTACTACCTTAAAATTGCGGCGTTACTTACACGCCTAGTCACGTGCACGTGGGGCGTATCAAAATTCGCCAGAACCGCGCAAACCTCACTGCTCTTCTTGAGATCTCTCTATCCACTCGCAAGGAACTGCCAACGCCAATACCTACCTGAGTATTCTGGCCACACATCTCATCTGACTGACCTCCAAAAACCCAACCTCCTGGATTTCTGTGCCCTCCTCTCCGATTACGAGCTACGAATTCCGGTCACCTCCCCTCTACCTAGTACGTATGTAGAAATCAATGAATGTTCTGTTCTTTTCGTCCCTGGGTCCTCCCTAGGTGCCCTCCTACTCACTATTGTTGAAAAACCTCTCCTGCCAATCTTCTCCCTTTTTTCTACATCGCACGGCTCCCCACGTTCCCCCAGCTGCACAGTCCATTCGAATCAACCTGCCGCTCCCTTCCCCCCTCGTCCCTTCACAAGATCTCCTCCCGAGTGGCATAATGTCTCGCCTTCCTCATGCCGTCCAGCGAATGTCAGTCATTCCTCAAGCTGCTGGCAATGGCGGCAGTGGTGGAAGCAGTTTTCTTGCTTCTCTTGCGCCCCATCGCATCATTGACACCTCATGCTGAGATCAAAATCCTAATTGAGTGTATCATCCTCCCAGGTACCGACTTCCCTGGCGCAGATACCCTCCCTGTGCTGGAGCTTGAAGGCTCGTGGAATACGTTGCTGGGGCTGAGACGACTGAGCGCAGCTACGACGACTACCCCATCTCCTTCCCCATCTTCCCCCAAACACTCGTCGAGCCTGAGCTTGAGCGTTGGCTCGAGGGTACGTCTATCTCTTCCGCGCGCCTAGACATTGACCACAGACTAAATCTGGTGGCACAGAAGCCGAAGCATCGATGAACAAGAAGCGAGTCTTTAGCCGAGCTTTTGCTGGCCATGGCCCCGTTGCTGAAAGCCAGAGATCCTTCAAGATCGCAAAGACCATGATAGCATCGTACGGTAAGTCTAGTATATCAGTGACCCATTTCAGCATGCGTTCACTGACCATTCTCCAGCGTCGGGCGACTACAAGTTCTCGGAGCGCGTTCGTAATATTGTCGAAATCCAAGGCATGGACTTCTTTAACCGCAAATGTACGAAGCTGGTTGCTAGAGCTCTCGACTACGAAGAAGACGCCAAATCTGCTTATTCTGAATCTTGTGACGGTGTGCCCAGTTGCCCCACACGCCGCGGTACGGCTGATGGGGAAATGGACCAGGCGTTTGCTGACGTAGATCAATCGGGAGATGAAGATGGAGAACAGGAAAAGGAGAATGAGCCCAGGATAGATGACGACTCCAAGGATGCTAATAGGCTATCGGGGTCATCTTCCGCCTCGTCCGAGTCTACTCAATCTTCCGAGTCTCCTAGATCTTCCTCCGAATCCGAGTCATCTGAGGGCTTAGAGAGAGAGGGTTCATCTGACCGGTCTGTTGAGCTCCCAGGTTCACCCTATGAGCCTGTTGAGTACTCCGAGGAGTCGGCCAACATTATCAAGCGAATAGATGCCGAGGTGCCCAAGCAAGTCAACGGTGGAAGCCGGATCGACAAGCAATTATCTCTCCACAAAATGGCTAATAGCGAAAAGGAGCTCGATCAGTTCAAGAAGTACGGGGACCTGAACGACAATGAGTGGGAAACCGAAGATCCAAACCGATACAGTAACGACGATCCGAACAGAAAAGTTCACGATTTCGAATACCAGAGCCCCCCTTCCATAACAACCAATGAAAAGGAATATAAGCCAGAACCATTCCCTAATTACGTCGAACCAGATCCTTCTGAGCTTGACCTTATCGCTGAAGACATTTTCGATTTTGGGACTCGCAATAACATTACCGATACTTCCACCGACGACTCATCCGCATCTGCGTCCACATCTACCGCCGAGGCTATTCCAAGTAGCCCTGAGAGCATCGTCAACTTCCGACCTCTCAATCAAAAGCCATCCTTCAAGTTTACTCCATCCTCGTCCATCGCCAGCAAGCTTCCAGAATTCCTCGCTTCGATGAAGGCCGCTAATGACGCTCTTCAGGCTGACATCGCCGCAGGAAGGCTGGGGGATCATCTGCTTGAGATCAACGATGCTACCCAGCAGGAGCGTGGAGATGATCCATACGTCGAGATGAACCTCGGCCTTGGTGTCCTCGAAGAGACCACCAGCCATATCAGCTCGTCTGATAACGGTATCAATGAACCTGACGTCTCCACTCGGTCCATTATTGATGCCGCTCTTCAAAAGTCCACCAGTGGCAAGAAATCTGTAGCTATCGAGGAGCTTTGATAGACTGCTTTGATCAGCATTAACACGCCGTATAGCAAGTTTTCTGTTGCTATTGCAACGAGAGGCTTCACTGCACATTCGCTAGCTGCCTGCACTCATATATTTTTGTAACATCTGGTATTCCTGTCGCTGTTTCGACTTTGCAGCGTCGTGCCTCTTCCCCACAGCCCGACTACCGCCGTTGAGGGACTATGCATCATCATTCCACGCTCTTTGTACATATTGTGTCATGTCGTTGGGTCCCAATCCGTTTCGCCTTGCAATGAAGTTCTTGCCACATCTTTCATTCACGATGCTTTATTTCTCATCGATTCCACGAACACTCTGTTTCTGGTGCTGCCTACGTACCAACCTTCTACCAGTTTAGGGGTTCTTGCTTAGCAGATTTCTTCTCATTCAGCAACTCATTCTCATCGTTGAGGGGGTTCTTCTATGGTACCTTTGACTCGCGCATACCTTCAGATTTGTGATACCCGTCTTCATGTGAGGAGATAAGTTTCCATTGTACTTTAGACTCCAAACCCTTCACAGGGATTCAAATTACTCTCCCTGTTTCCTGTCTTTTTTTTTTTTCTTCCAATTGGGGGTTGGCTTTTCCAGCAAGGATGCCCGTCTTCTCTCGGCCATTGGCGCTGTTGACTTGAATGAAAGGATGGAGTATCGCGACAAGATGGACTCGTATTACACCACGGCTTTCTTTGCCTCTAGTCTCTACTCATAAGGGTTTCGAGGGATGGAGGGCAGTTGGTACATTAGTGTTCCAAGAAAGACACATCGCCGCCTGCAATCTTGCGACATCAGCAGGCGGTATGGCAAATATTTCCAAAGAATAAAGTATACTTGATAATAAAATTCCGATCTTTAATGTACGCTATGGTGACCTCAACATCCCAACCAAAGAAAGGCTTAAGGTAGCTACTCCTAACACCGTCGCTGACCCACACACGTTATAGTACCAGTATTCTAATCCTTAACAAAACGGATCCAACCCCGTCCAGAGCTAAAGTCAGTTGACTCTGCTTCCTAATGGTGTAACAAACCTGATCTTGTCATCCCCAATCTTTCTCTTAAAAACTCCCAGATCTTTCAGCAAGTCCTTCATGGAACCCTGGACTTCACTGGCCCTCTCCTCATGAACTGAAACATCAATACCTTCATCCTCGTCACCATACTCTCCAGCAGGCGCTTCCATCCTCTCATCGTTCTCCTTATCATCCTCTCCAGCCTCAAACACGTCACCCTTCCTGCTTCCACCTTGCATGGTATTACCCCCACTCCGCACTTCAATCGGATTTTTCAGGCTGTCAAGCGCAAGCTTTAAGTGCAATCGCAGTGCATCATTCTCTGTCTGCAAGTTACGAATCTTACCCTCAGCTACCATACTCCGTTCTTCCATCATGCGCTGCATCGCAATGACTCTGTTCTGGTACTCTTCCAACTTTTCTTCCTGCTCTCTTCCTTCCTTTTCTCGTCGCCGACTATCTGACACATTGAGTTGCAGAATGCGTATCTCTTCAGCCATTGCGGCAATTTGAGCATCTCGTTCGGCGGCTGAGACATGATCCTGATTAACGACAGCGCGAGTGCGGATTCTCTTAGCTTGGTCAGCATAGCGTAGTGTTGACAAGGTCTCATCGTAGTCTGAGGGTGCTATGCAAGCTATCATAGCAGTTTTACTATTTCCTCCCAGGGAATCCTTGAGCAGCCAAGTGAGGATTGAATCTCGATATGGTACCACATCCTTATTCCTCTTACCCGGTCGATGTTGCTTGGGATCGGCAAGTGCAGCGATCACGCGGCCAAGTGTAGTGAGAGATTTGTTGATATTGCTTCCTTCTCGAAGACGAGCGCCAGTAGCCTCCGTTGCTTTTGCTCGCTCACTGCCTGCTAAATCTACAAGTCGGATTCGTGCCATGCGTTCAGTAGTCTCATCCGTGTCCATATCGTGATGGATTTGCTTGAGCATAATGGTGAAAACCGCGTGACTTCTGCTACTCGTGTCGTTCATCTTGGTACTTGCTGTCGTGCGGCTCGCATCTCCCATTTTCATATACCGCATGATTTCTGAAATGTTCTTAACAGGCGCATCCGTTAGATCTTTGATGTATGGCCCCTCCGTTGGCGACTCCCTAATCTTGAGGTAATACGGTGGTTGGTTAGGGTGCACTGGGACAAGGAGATCGCGAACATGTTCATTATAGACTTCGAAATAAGATACTCGTACGTTGTACGAGATATTAGGTGTTTCATTGTGGGCGGCTTCGATGCGTTGAAAAAGATCCTCACAAGTCCGGGGAATGAGACCCGGTTGCTCTGGGGTTCCCATCATTGTATAACTCTTTCCAGACCCAGTCTGGCCATATGCAAAGATGCATGTGTGGTAGCCTTCGAAGTTGTGGTCTAGAAACTCCTCACCCAGGCAATTGTAAACGTCCTCCTGGTGGGCATAATGCTCGTCCGCCTCGTCATGACTCCAAAATGAATTGTCGAAGGTGAAAGTCTTCTCCTCGATAACCTTGCGAGTCTTCGACCTTGAATTGACAGGATCTGTATCGGTTGGTACTAAAAGCGTCGTAGCCTGAGTGATTGGATTCATCTGTATTAAGCATTCCGCGCCTCGCTCGATTTCTGCAAGGGAATGTTAAAAATGAATCAATTGGCCCCATTTACTATGCGGTCTTGTTACCTCTAGGAAGAAACCCTCTGACCCTGACTACGACTCGAACGTTTCCGCCTGGCGCATCCATTCTGCCAATTGGTGTCGCACTTCCCTCTCTTGAACGTAGTGAAGGTGTAGAAGCGGAGGATCTCACAGGGCGCAATTCCGATGCCACTCCCGGCATCAACCGTGGGTCCAGAGCCATTCCAATCGATGTATCGTTGATATCAGGAACAGTTCCGTGGAAGCTGTGCTGTGCTGTAGTTGGAGGCACAGTATGCTGTTCTCGTTTCCCGGTGTTTACCTACCCACGTTACGCGTTGGCGGGGTGAACTGTATACAGGGTCTGACCGACCTGGCTGCAAACCCTTATGAAGTTGGTGTAATGATAAGCGTAGGAGTGACTGAAGACACGGGCTTGTCTTTGAGTATGACCCTCCACAGGGCTGCTAGATTTTATGCTCCAGAAGCACGTTGTGTTGTGTTGTGTTGTGTTGTGTTGTGTCGCGTTGTTGGTGGTGGTGGTGGTGGTGAAGTCCTCTCCATGCCTGAGGCACCACATTCTTCTAGGTATTTGTGGCTTGCAACGAACTGAGCAGACTCTGTCAACAGCGAATACCTCGTCCCTGGGCGTTCTTCATTGGGGAGTATAGAAGGGGGAGAGAGGGGAGAGAGGGGAGAGAGGGGAGAGAGGGAGAGGGTGAGAGGGGGGGAGGAAAAGAAAGGGGGGTCCTCGTCGTCTTACCTCATCAACCATTGTTTCCTGTCTTCTTCGATACCATGACCCCATAGCCAGTCCAGTGTCACCATGGAGTCCAGATCAAAGACTCACAGCTACGGGATACTACGATACAGACGACCGTACGGAGGTGACATATTGCCAATGCATCAATGACAGAAAGCCACGACTGACTTTAGCAGGATTTTTCACAGTTCAGATGGCTCATCAGTAAGGATCAACATAGCAAAACTGGAGTCCTTTTATTAGCCAGGTACAAGCAGGTTCGCCCATGGCGGAGGACGGGAAAGGTGATCAGACTATAGCAACAGCAGTGAGGAGTCTCTGTTACAGCACATCCCATCCTATTCTCTGAATGGTCGAATAATGCAGTCCTTAAGCCTCGGTGACAGCTCTTTGACGCCGTAACGAAATAGTCTGAGAGTTGTTAGGAGGCTATATATAACATGGCAGCCATGCGGCCAATGGGATGTATGTGAACCCACGTTTGGAGTATCTACTACACGTCAAGGATCATGCAAAACACGTCTCTCCCAGCCAGAATACCCTGCGTACACTAAACATAGCGGAGGTTAAGTGTGACACGGTCAGGAAAACACGGAGAGCTTCGCAGACCACGACCAATCAACATCCACAAGTCAAAGAGATGTTGTTGCTCATCAGGCTTTACAACAAACTCGCAGACAGCCAACATAGCAGGTATACCATAGAGTCGAAAACCCTCTGGCGACGGAAAGGCTGGGCAGAGTTCGTCCCTGTCTCCCTCGAGGTCCACAAACTCCAGTCGAATGTCAAATGGTCTCTCTCTCTCAGCAGCCACGATGAAGCCCCATACGTACAGCTCTTGCAGCGAGGTCATGCCCTCCATGCTTAGAACAGACCATGGAAAGGAGTTCTCAAAGTGTGGCAGCTGCAAAGCTAAGCGTTTGATCACAGACAAACTAGATGACTTCTCTGTGCGGTACAGCACTTCATCCAGTGTTAGCCCTGGTGGCCAACCGATGCGGTTAAGCTCCGTAGAAACTTCGAGGAGGTCTGTTTCTGGATTGAAGAGAAACGACCGCTTCCGACCACAAACTTGATAGCAAACGTGTTTATACACCCCCATTGCACGAAGAAATTCAGCGGCTTCACCACTTGCCTCGGTCACCGAAGGCCGAATAACAAAGACTCGAAAGTCTCGACGATGTTCAACCCCGTCACTATCAACTATCGGTGGAGATGCGTAGGACTATGTGAACCACGGTATCAGAGCTATTCCTTTGAGGTACGATATGAACTTAAAAAGATGAGATGGTCGGACCTTGGGAAATAGGCAATTTGGGAAGTACGATAGGGGTTTGGGAGCACAAACCTCATTGGCTACCAAGACTCGGGGTGCAGCAGAAAGAGCCCAAATCTCATGCCTAATTTCACGAGGAAGCAATGGAAAGAGGGTGAACGAGGGTGCAGTAGTTGTGAAGCGTCTCATCTGGTAAGTGATGGGAAGAAATGTACTGGACTTGGCGATCATGAGAACACGGCCGGTATTATCTGTGATCTTGAGACTGCTGCCTTCAGTGGTCACGATCTTGGTTATGGGTGCCGGAGCATGATGATAATGGTACTTGTCGACTCCAGCGGGATCGACACTTGCAATAGCCGTACTTGAGAGCCGCTCGTAGGCCTGGAGGACAACGGCTTGTGCCTGTCCCACGTTGGAGGCTTTATGGCGAATGATGATAGTTGGCAGGGAAAGATCGAGGCCGGTCATTCCCCTCTCCTTCAACTTCTCAATAATCTCACTCTCACTCATGTTCTGCTGGGAGAACATTGTGGGCTTGGCAGGACCAAGAGTTCCGGTTTTCCCCCCTGGAAAAACAATTAGCAAGTGCTCGGGTATGCGGCTTCTTGGAGAGCCTTGAATCCAATTGACCTGATGAGAATATGGGGAAGTAAGAGTGCTACTGAGAGCGTGGGAACAGAAGTGAGAGGGCTTAGGTGGATGTGTGTACTGGAATGAAAGTGGTGGTGACTGGGGAGTTGACGATGGGGAGTTGTCGATGGGGAAGACGAAGTACAATGAGATGAGAGGGGCTGATTTCTTGAAAGTTAACTGCTTAGAGCTGTTCTGAGGGTTGACAGGGTACTTGAACTGTCCTTTGCATGGGCAGTTAGTAAGATGTCCACAGAAAGATGTCGTGGTGCGTCTTGCGGGGAGAATGGATAGAAGTTGGAACTGCAACAGTATTGATCAAAGATACCGACTTCCTAACATTTCGAGATCGAGAACAAGGTTAATAGTACAGTACTTGCAGACCGGGTCAGTGATCGACAGTGGCTGGACGTTCGGGAGGGGAAGATAGCGAGTTGATGGCAATCAGATATCTGTGGCCATGGCGAGAAGGTGAATAAGATGAAGGGGGAAATTGGTTTGGATTATAATTACTGACGATGGCATGAGAATAGCGTGTTGTTGCTATGTTGCTATGTTGCTATTGTGGAAGGCGTTGTTGATACATCCACAATAGCCACGTCGAGGCAGGAGAGAGAGGTTGCCGAAGAGACCAATGCTGGAAAGCGTTACTTGCTTCTCCGATCAATGATTCAAGAGAGGCAGCTTGTTTCTTTTGAGATTAAAAAGGCTGTGGTGGTTTGCGGTTTTCATTTGTTTGCAAGAAGGGGTTGCGAAGGGTGTATTACCGTATATTTTCTCTTCTCGGGGCCAGCCTTTGAAGCCTTATCCTTAGAATCGATCGCCGGTATGCTTAGTATGACAGTTTCATATCTCCAATGGTGCGTGAGCGAACGGTTTTGTCTGTAGCAAAGCGGACGCTTCCATGATGTTGGGTCGATGCTTCTTCGTTCCTGAGGTGGTTTTCACAGTTGCTTTTCGATTACATATTACTGGCTGCATATTTCTATTCCAGTTTGAAATGATAGCCATGGAAGAGAGTAGTTTCATGAGGCTCAACTCTTCTCGGGCGGATATGCCTCTCGATATCGCTCTATCAACGTCAGATCTACAGTCACCAAATTGTCAAGACTTTGTAGCAATCTAGAAGTAAGGCATGCCTACTGCTGCTCTGGCAATAGTTATGACGATACCCCAAAACTCCAGTTTTCTATGGACTAGAAGTGGTCTATCCGTATTTTACGTTGTGCGAGTTATCCAGGCACATGTTGTCTATTGTCTGTGATATCGCTATTGATACATCCGACAATAAGACAACGGTGCCAATTATACAACCAACCCTACACAACAATATGGCTGACACCAGTAGGTAGCTACCAACTAGCTTTAAATGTCCGCATGTGGCACCCGAGGCTGCATTACGATGAATACCAAGTCCCACCATTCAACAGTCCCAAATCGGGCTATTCCATGGGATCCTCGGTCCATGATAAACCCAGTCAGGTGTTGGGATGCTTCCGGAATTCTATTCTATGGTAACCTAAAATAAAGAGTTGGTCCCGCTTTATATATCCCAAACAGGTCCACGGCTTGTTGGCGCAAGACCTAGGGAGGTAGGTAAAGTAAGGTAGGGTAGGTATGTTCGCCCCTATTCTCTCGCTTAGTATCCACGTGACAACATGCCAAAGGTCAGTATCCAGGTAGGTACCAATTTGAATCTACCTTACCTACTTTTTTTTTTTCTCAAAAACCGCCTAAGGTAAGAATACTGGGACCCAGAATCTACCGTAAGCCGGTCCCAAGCAATTCCTCGCCAACCTCTTCCACCAATGCTTCGTCTGGAAATAACTTCCTCTTCGCAAGAACAGTGCCTTGCGCATCCATAGCTCTCAGTAAATCCATCAATTCCCCATTCTCTGGCGTGCAATAGACCAAATACCCAAAGGCAAGCAATAAGCCCTGCAGAGCCTCTGGAGATTCTTCTTCAACTGCAATGGCCTCTAGTAAAGACGCTGCAAGCTCGATTTGATCACCTTCTAATAAAGCATCTCGATGTTCATCTAACCGTAACCGACTGTTTGCTACTGCGATGTTGAACGACAGACTTGCTGCTGCAACTCGCACGCTAGGGTGCTTTTCGTCTAATAGACTCGTTGCGATCAACTGGACAACCGGGCTAGCGAGTTTGGGGCTATCAGAAATGCTTTGAGGATATAACGGGCTAGAGAAAAGATTACAGACTGCCTGCAATGCTACGAGACGTAATGAATATGGACAATCGGTGAAAGAGTTGACATAGGAAAGGAGATGCGCAATGGTTTTGTGGTCTTTTTCTTCTGCGTAGTAGCCACTGAAACGTGGGTCTAGAAGCGCAGCACGAAAGAGATCAACGACTGTAAACATGACTTCCGGTAGAAGTTTGGAGGGGGCAGAAAGCAGGAATTGACTAAAAGAGTGGAGATCAGGAAGGGTTGATTCAGCTACACCAGCAGTAGCGCGGGTGGATATGAAGTGCATGATGCCAGCAACAGCTGCGCCTTCCGCTAAAGGCCCCATCTTCGTTCTCAGTTTTTCAAGTGGGGGTAGATTTCTGTACAGGACTGGCGTTGTACTCGATCGTCGCAGCGCCGGAAGGCGGAGCGACTCGTGTTGGTGTGGTGGCCATGCCGTCTGTATGAGCATTCGGACATTTTTTCGAAGAGTGCTGGGATCAGGCCCCGTCCATTGATTCTGCTGATTTCCTTGTATGAAAGTGATAAAGGTAGGAGTAGCTTGAATACCGTACTTAGTGCTAATATCGTATGCCTTCGAGATATCGACTGTAATGAAAAGAGCCCTGTGAGCTGTCTCGCTTGCTAGCTCGTTGTACAGGGAGTGAAGTTTCTCGCTGGGTTTACAAGTGGGCGACGTGAAGAAGACAACTGCGCATGAGGTTCTGGCATTGGCAAGTAGTCCGTCAAGTTCCTGCATAGTGGTAGGTCTCCTGACTGAGACACCAAGTTTTCGGTGTGTTAGAGAAGTAGAAACCGGACGTTCTATGCCCAACAGCCCGCCGTTCTCGGCCTTTCTATTCTGAACCATATCATTGATCTGTGGCCGAATCATTCTACCGAACGGGGTATCGAGCACAGTCTGGGGAAGACTTGTGATGTGCTCTGGTATACCCTTTCCGAGAAGGAATGTCGCAAAGTCATTGGAGAAGTTGTTGCAGTTGTGGGACCAGAGATCGTATGCCTGGGTGTTGCTGGAATCAGCTACTACAGTAATACCGATGGGTCCAAGACATACCTCAGGAGTGTAAATCTGCTTGAGGGAATCCAGATACTCCATAATCACATCGATAGGCAGGTCTGTCGTTCCCAGCTCGATTATCTGTATAGGCTGGCCCAGGTGGGTGCTCCCTGGATCCAGGGTCTTAATCCCCCCATCATAAACGTACTCTAAGCCTTGCATGACAATTGATGTATGGTAGATAGCATCGATCTGAATGCCGAGGAGCGCAGCAGATATGTTCTTCGCCAAGCCGCGGGAGAGATCGTAGACATAGAGCTGGACATTCATATTGGTTGCGGCAGTCCTGTAGTTGTATTATTCAATGTTAGATATGAGAGAGAGAGAGAGAGAGAGGAGGTCACGAAGTCAAGAGAAGAGGCCGGCGAGGCCAGGCAGCGCGAGGACGTGTGATGTACCGATGTACCGATGTACCGATGTACCTGTCGATGGGATGAAGTGCAGGGATTGTGGCTGTGCATTTGCGGCGTTTGTGGCTCAACCGCTTTGCGAATTTCCCCTGAACGACAGCCCTTGCTCCTTTCACCCTCCTCCACCCTCCTCCACCTCATCTTCTTCTCCTCTGCCTCACCACCTCCGGCTCACGTCACTCGTTCTATGCGTAGCCGTATGCATTGGTCATTCTAGTCATTCCCTTATGAGACGCTCGTCAGTCTCGCTGCCGACAAGAATCGTAGCACACGACCCCCACGAGAAAGCTGCCCGGTACAGCACCAGAGGCGCAAATAGCAGTGCCATAGGCACCCTGGAGAAAAGAAAAACCGCTGGGATGACGCAAAGTCAGCGATCAAGATTTCTGAAGACTGGGGGGGTCCTCCTCTTCGTCATCTTCTTATTCTATTATCTCTCGCCCAACGGCACTGATGTCTATACTGGAGGTACGGATTACTCAAACTGTGGGGAGACTCCTCTAATAATACTTTCTAGTCACCAACCTGGGTAACTCCGGCGGCCAGACTGCATCAGACCCCTCAGCGGGCACAACAAAATGCTCGAAATCCGCGGATAAGTCGAAGCCAATTGTCCAATATGCTCTCATGATAGATGCTGGGAGTACTGGATCCCGAATCCACGTCTATAAGTTCAACAACTGTGGCCCCACACCTGAGCTTGAAGATGAGGTATTCAAGATGACAGAGAAGAAGCCTGGAGGGTCAGGGTTGAGTTCTTACAAGGAGGATGCTGAGGGAGCTGCAAAGAGCTTGGATGTTCTCATGGCTGTTGCGATGGAGACAGTTCCTGATAAACTCAAGCGTTGCACACCTGTTGCGGTGAAGGCTACAGCTGGTCTTCGATTACTCGGCCCGGAGATGAGCCAAAAGATTCTGGACGCGGTACGAGATAGGTTAGAGACCGCGTACCCCTTCCCAGTCGTTTCAAAGGAGCAGAACGGTGTCGTTATCATGGATGGTATGGACGAGGGGGTATATGCCTGGATTACTACAAACTATCTCCTTGGAAACATCGGTGGACCCGATCACACCGAGACCGCCGCTATATTCGATCTCGGCGGTGGCTCAACCCAGATCGTATTCGAGCCTACATTCAAGAGTACCAACCATGGGATGCCGGAAAAGCTAGCAGAGGGTGACCACAAATATAAGCTTACGTTTGGCGGCAGAGATTTTGAGCTCTACCAGCACTCGCATCTTGGCTACGGTCTCATGTCTGCTCGAAATACCATCCATCGAACTCTTATCGAAGATCTTTACTCATCAAATCCCTCCGACACTACTTGGATCGCCGAGCCGGTCATCAACCCCTGTATTGCTCCAGGTATGACTCGTCTTGTCGATGTCAACCTCTCAGAGGGTCACGCCCTGGGTACTACAGTATCTGTTAATATGACTGGACCATCCTCTCCGGCTCCAGCTCAGTGTCGAAAACTGGCCGAGAAAATACTGGTAAAAGACGCCGACTGTGCCCTAGCCCCTTGTTCGTTTAATGGTGTCCATCAACCTTCTCTTGAGAAAACTTTCTCCAGAGAAGACATCTACATTTTCTCATATTTCTTTGACCGCACTGAACCCCTTGGCATGCCAGAAACCTTCACATTAAAAGAACTTCACCGTCTCACGGATCAAGTCTGTGGCGGTGAGACTACCTGGGATGTGTTTGAGGGCGTACCGGGCGCGATCGAAGAGCTAAAAGGCAGGCCAGAGCACTGCCTGGATCTCAACTTCATGATGGCTCTCTTGCATACCGGCTATGAAATGCCCATAGACAGAGAGGTCAAGATCGCGAAGAAGATCAACGGGAATGAACTTGGTTGGTGTCTGGGTGCGAGGTACGCTTCCTGGTTTTGGTTGCAGAAGTTTATATTCCTTGCTAACATGTCTGCAGTCTCCCTCTTCTGAGTCAGAATTCAGGATGGCAGTGTCGTGTCGAGGAAGTCGCGTAAACTCTTTGGCGCTTTATGTATGGCTGGCGTAACGGACTTGTATTTTTTTCGGCCGTAGACATCAATGACAGGTTACATAATGTACATTACTCTCGTCCTTGACACCCATACCACTATACGCTGTGACCGTGGGCTAACAGCTGGAGGGAGGGAGTCCGGTACCTAGGTACTTGTAATTAGCCTGCAGCAGTCCCCAATAACCCACCTAATGCTCGTCTGGGGGTGACTTTGTATAGCCTCACTTTGTTTCATTGTCAGCAGGTGATATAATCATATATTACGGTTGCCGGTGGAGGAGGGGGGGATATACGTCTCCTCTGCTACGAGAAGCCGTACAAGCCGTGTGGTCTCACCAACCCCATTGAAGATCCTTACCTTCTATCTAGATAATAAAAGGAGCTAAGGGATCGGACACGCACCTCGGTATTGTAGAATACCTAGGTAAGGTTAAGTGAGTGCCTAGTAGCCTACCTAGGTAAGGTATATGTATATACATATATATATATATCCTCAACATGGCACACAGCCAGCCCCGCATTACTCCATACTCCTCTCATTCCTCCGCAACATCTTTACCCCAGCCAATCCGAATTAGCCCGCCTGTGGAGCACCCCGCACCCCGGGAAACCCCCCCGCACCCCGGGAAACCCCCCCGCACCTCTCTGTCCAAGCTCCATGGAGACCACTAGCATCGGAGAAGGACTTTGTACTCAGGTATTTATGGATGGCTCGTCGCCAGAGTTCTCCCAGACCTTGCGGGACATACCTAGGCAGCACACGACATCAGCATGGCAGCATTCACCTCGTCTCAGTATGCCCTTGCTGCTGGAGGCATTGGCATTCTCCTTCTCCTTGCCAAAATACTTACAATTGGCCGGAGACCAAAGAACTATCCTCCGGGGCCTCCAACACTGCCAATCCTCGGGAACATGCATTTGGTATGCTTCTACTTCTACCTCCTGGCCTAACCCTCGGACTCCGTGACCAGATCGCAGTACGCTGACTGCAGGTACTAGATGCCTAAGAAAGATGCCCATCTACAGTTCCAGAAGTGGGCGCAAGAATATGGGTAAGTCGTCTTCATCTACAGCCCAGGTGGCCATGGACTCATTGGAGCAGGCCTGTATATTCCCTCATCCTGGGCACAAAAACCTTGATCGTCTTGTCATCGGATACGGCAGTCAAAGACCTCTTGGACAAGCGAAGTGCTATCTATTCGGACAGACAGCCAAGTTATATGGGTCAGGACTTGGTAAGCGGTGGACTGAGAGTCCTGCTTATGGTACGAGTGTCCTTCCCCCTATGATTCGAACAAGACATAACCTATGATCCAGAGATACGGACCCACCTGGCGCATGATCAGAAAGATGGTACATAACATCCTCAACATCGTCGCGGCCAGATCCTACGTCCCTTACCAGGATCTCGAAAACAAGTACATGCTGCTGGGAATTCTCGAATCCCCGGATCTCTTTGCCGATCATATCAGACGATACACAAATTCTTTGACAACCCAGATGGTCTTTGGCTTCCGCACATTATCCATCGACGATCCAAAATTGAAGCAATTGTTCCATGGTTTCGAGAAATTTTGCGAGGTTACGGGGAATGGCGTCGCTGTTGTCATTGATCTGTTTCCTATTTTGAGGTATCTGCCGGATTTCATGCTCCCAATGCGTGCATACTGTAAGCGTCTGCACGCAAAGGAAAAAGATCTCTACGTTGGACATTGGATGAATGTCAAAAAGGCCATAAAAGCGGGGACTGCGAAGGTTTGTTCGCCTGGACTCAAGCTGCTTCTCATAGCTAATGACCCTCCAGCCTTGCTTCTGCGTCGACCTCGTCAAAGCACAAGAAGTCGAAGGCTTTTCCGACGACCTCGCAGGGTACACTGCCGGCTCCCTCCTTGAAGCCGGCTCGGACACAACAGCCGCGACCCTAATCGCGTTCATTCAAGCCCTCGTCCTCTTCCCCAACGTCCAAAAGCTCGCCCAGGAAGAACTCGACCGCGTCGTCGGTCAAGACCGCCTCCCCACCATGGAGGATGAAATGAATCTCCAGTATATCCGCGGCTGCGTCAAGGAAAGTATGCGTTGGATGCCTACTGATATCTTGGGCGTTCCTCATGCTGTCACCAAAGACGATTGGTACATGGGGTATTTGATCCCAAAAGGAGCAGGGGTGGTCAACAATGTCTGGACCATTCATATGGATCCTAAGAGGCACCCAAATCCGCGAGAATTTGATCCTTCGCGTTATGCTACAGATTTTCAGACGGCCGGGGAGGCAGCTGCAAACCCCGATGTTTCGAAACGAGATCACTTTACGCTCGGTACAGGTTAGCCATCTTCTATTCATCAGTTAACTATGAAGACGATTAACACTTTCAAAGGTCGGAGAATCTGCCAAGGAATGCATATAGCCGAGCGATCGCTCTTTCTCGGTATCTCACGTATCCTCTGGGCCTTCAACGTAGAAGCTCCACTGGATGCGGACGGGAAGAAGATCCTACCGGATCCGAACAAATTAACGCAGGGATTGTTCGTCTTGCCAGAGCCGTTCCGGGCGAATATTAGGCCAAGGAGTGAGAAGCATGCAGCAATGATCAGGGAGCAGTGGGACAGCTGTTTGCCATTGTTGGATGGGGAAATGCAATGGCGAGAGGTCCCGAAAGGGATGGCTTTTAGTACTTATGATCCTACAAAGCATCAGAGTGCTGAATTTTAATGGCGATCTAAAGACTGACCGTGGTTGAGGTTTTTAGTCTAGGCTAGTTAGCTAATTCTAAACTGTTCTTTGCTGTATGCCCATGTAACAGCCAATAGCTACCAGGTAAGTCGGGTGGTGGTTGAAGACTGGGCAAGGTAGCTCTACTACCAACACTAGTACCAAGAGTTATATACTAGGTACCTATAGGTTGAACTACGTGATGTAAATATAGGTAGGTTTAAAGGGTTCAATCCCTCCAATAAACAATCCTTTGCTCAATGACTCTTCAACGGCTTCTAGAGCCACTTAAACATCTAATGGAGTACCTTGTGTTAATTTGTTCAGGGTACATTTTCGCAACTCCTCTCAAATCTATCGCAGGAGCTTCCTCGGTTCCACCCGGCCGACCGAGGCCCGTACATCCCTAACCAATGACGCAACCGCATCTCCAGCTTCCACTCACCCCACAGCATCCCAAACTCATCTTTTCCTTTCCCTTCTTTCCCCTTACCGATTCCCCCCCTATCGCATATCCTCCTTGTCCCTCACCTCACTTTTCGTCCCTTCTGCCCTAGCACAATGGCGAAACTCACAACCCCCTCCGAAAATCTCTCGCTCCCCGGCGCAAAGCTCGCCATAGCCGCAGCCGAAGCCAAAGCGGCAGAAATCGGGGTCCCGATGAACATAGCCGTAGTCGACGCATCCACCCATCTCCTCCATTTCAGCCGCATGCCAGGCGCGAAGATCACCAGCATCTCCATTGCGATAGATAAGGCTTTCACCGCAGCGGGCCATCGGCAGGGTACGCATTTGTACAAGGAGGCTGTTTGGCCGGGAGGAGCGGCTTATGGGTATGTTTTTTCTTGTTGCTTGATTCCGAATCTGATGAAGGGGCAATGAGCGGGGGCCAGGGGAGACCAAGGAGGAAGAGAAGAGAGAGGGAGGGAGGGGATGAGATGGCACTGGTGATTCTCACGTGACTTCTGGCTGACACCTGGTCCAGATTAGGAAACACGAACGGAGGGCGATTCACGACATTTGGGGGCGGATTACCGATTTTGAATGCGAAGGGAGAGGTGGTTGGCGGGATTGGAGCGAGCACAGGGACGCCGGTGCAGGATCAGCAGGTTGTGCAGGCGGGTGTGGATGCGTTGAACAAGGCTTTCAAGGGGGAGGGGAGTCTGAAGGCCAAGCTTTAGATGTCGTGATTCTTATTTCACTGTACGAAAAGTCTTCGCTGAAATCGTGGCAGACAAGTGCTCGCTCGAAGGGTTCTCTCCAACGCAGAAATCCAATTTGCCTTCTTGCTATGCTTCTCCCTTACTCCCCATACGAGTTGAAGTACAACACAGGTGGCGCCTGTCCCATTCTTTCAACATCTCATCTACCAGATCATTGAGCGACCATTAGACCACTCATGAGGTCTTTCACAACCACACCCAGTATCCAGGATCGCGCCGGCCAAAGCTGGCAACAATCCCAAACGGGCACAGGACGGCTTGCATAGGTCTATCCAATGGTTCCATGACCCAGCATTTAGTCAGGTTTATCTTTCCCAAGTCTCTCCAGATCTGTCCTTCGACGAAAGGAAACGTGTCCTGGAGACCTAAGGTGTTTCCCTTGAAACGCAGGGGGGGATGAGTGAGTTGTTGAGTCAGAATCTTGAATTCTTGGCCAACATTGTTGATTAGTATTTACGGGATTAGTTGAGATTCAAGTCTAACCTTGTTGAAATCTGGTCTCCTTTGTCTTGACGAAACAAGTCATTGTAGAATTGCATTCGTGCTCCATCATCGTCCAGGTTAAGTTGATGGGGGTTGGAAGATGCCACGAGGCAAAACCGGATCGCCAATGCGCCTCCAGTATCGCTTCGTTAAGAGTCATGAGTAGCGTTGGATCCTGAGCCGCCATCTAAGAGAACAGATGCTCAAACAACGGGTCATTGTTGGTATACCGATGGTCATCACTACTGTTCGGGCTCTGGCAACTATTGAAGCACCGGGACATGGGGATACCTCTTTGAGTCCCTGCGATGCGAGTCTTACTGGTAGGCCTCAGGGGAATCAAGACAAAGTGAGGCTAACCAAATTCCAGAGAAGCTGACAATCTTATCTATGGCATGTTTCTTTCCGACGAGACAGTCATAGGTAGGTAGGCAAGAGACAACCCTTATGTTATATTCAAGCATGGCCTGCACGGATTTGAAGACGGAGCCCAAAGGCCGTGAGATGTATGACCAGATCAAGATCGGCAAGATATGATCATGTTCCTCTGGATCTGCAAGAGAGGGCCTTGTTTCCAAGATACCTTGGTTTCAGTGGCCCTGGAACAGCAAGTAAAGCCCGAAAGAACGGAACTCTTCTCCCTGGGGCACCACACGCAGCGTTCCAAGGTTGTCATGCGCGGCACGTGATGGAGGGGTACATCATCGCGTCACTGGAACACCTTACCTACCTAGGCTTAGTATCGTGGAGGCCGTAACCGAGCAGGTGATTGGGCTACTCCCAAAGAGGGTTAGTGCATCGCTACCCAGCAAGATAAGGCAAAGAACCCCACCTCCACACTCTTGATTTCTTAAAACAACCCCTCTTGACTACCTTTTTGGCCCCACCTACAAAAGATGACATCTGTACCATCAGCAACACCAACCGAAACCTCACCACACCAACACCAACACCAATCTCCTCACAAAGTTACTCCTACTAAAATGGCGATGCGCACCACTCGAAGAAGCTCGCCCTCAAAACGCCTAAACCTATCGTCAAATGTCGCAGAAATCGCCTACCCCGAAAAGCCGTTCTGGTGCAGACTCCTCAAACCAAGCTGAGAACACGAAGCCAGTGACCGGAGATGAGATTGTCGATTGGGAATGGGCCGTGGATGGCAAGGAACCATACTTGTACACATCACTATCTCTTAATTAACTTGTATATAGGCTGTCTCACTGGATACACTCCCGAGGGGAAGCCATGGCCGAGGCAAATGACCGTAGAGGAGCTTTGCCAATGGGCATTTGGTACGAAAGGTAAGAAACCATACTTGCACATATTACTATCTCTTAATTAACTTGTAAATAGAATTACCTAAGGGATTCGATGACGGGACGGAATGGATACGCCGTTACGAGATGGGAGAAGATGAAGAGGAAGATGCCGAAGAGGAAAAGGATGATGATTTCGACTGGGTTAAATTCACCGAGGAGTCCCGAGCGCGAAGAGCAAAGGAGGCCGAAAGCTCAGAACCAAAGAAAGTTTGAATTAGAACACTAGGAGGGTGAGTTGACCTATAATTGTTGTTTATTCCTTGGCCTGATTTTTAATCAATGCTTTCTCTAGGCGCTATCTGACTGTTGTCCCTAATCCGTTCTCCTACATAAGGTGCTCTCTTACTCTTTTAGAGTTCGCAGATTTAGATCCTTTGAACCTTCAGCCACCGGCGATATGGATCCTGCGCCTAAAACAAGCCTGCCAACGGTGAGTGACGCCTACCATAAGGTATGGACGGGGCTCGTGGTGACGGCGAGGGGGTGACGGCGAGGACTCTTGATGTCTTCACCTTCCGTGATTCTTCGTCGTCGCTTTCTTCTTGTAGCACCTTGCGTTTCCTTCGTGCTTCTACGCCAATTGGGCTCGCCCTTGCCCTTCCTTAGGGCTAACGCGCATTCTTTAACACGCCCCGCCGCGCGCCCCAAGCCTTCTTCCGAAACCATCCTACCACGCGTCGATTCTACCTCGCCACGTCACAATGACCTCCCTACTAAAGAAGGATGTTGCTTTGGCGCGTCCCATGTTCGACCCGCTCCCTGGTTCAGTTCATATCAAGGCCCTCGTTAAGCGTACAGCGTTGAAAAAGCACCGCCTGTCCGACCACGTTCTTGGTTGCATCTACCTTGGTTTGTACCTAGGTGTGTTCAAGAAGGTAGAGGCAGATATCTTTGAAACGTGTTTCGTCAGGGATGTTAAACTCGGAAAAATTCATGTTCACTTCGGAGAGGCCTTTACTGATCCGGATGGGAACGTGATGGCTGTAAACGGGAAGCTGTTCTGTGGCGACGTCACTAACTTCGCGGTGTCTACGTACACGTTTGACACCACCAACCAGCATCCCGGGTTCCATGACTGGGTCAGTGATGCCCTTTACGCTGGCTCTACCATTCATGACGAAGACGCCGCCCCTCTCATCCATGCCGCTCTCATCCTGTATCACCTTGTCCAGCAGGCTCTTCATCCGAGCGTCTAGGGTATGGCTAACAACTTCTTACAGCAACATGACAATGTTGAAAGAAATTATGGCCGTCAACGGCTGTGGCATTGGAGAACTCCTTGAGCGAACCTTGGTAGATACACCAGGGAGAAAGCTACGCCAATTAGGGATAAAGCTTATCCCAAATGATCCTACAGTAATGGAGAAGACCTACCAGAGTAGGGGAGGATCGTGTACCGCGTTTACGTTAAGAGTCATTATCGAGGCTGGGCGATCCTTTGACGAGTTTACAATTGGAAGCAACAAGTTGCATCGGGTAGCATGGGATAATGACTATCTTATTTGTTCTTCCAAGAAGATGATGATGGTTACAGAACCATCAAACTTTCGAGATGGAGGATTCATGGATCCTACACTTAGAAATGTAAGAAAGCTTTAAACATGAAATCATAAAAATTATTACTAACTTATTCTTTTAGTGCTCATTTTTTAAGCCAGTTGGAAACTGGTTTAACGCAATGCAAGAATGTTATACTCAACTCCTAGAAAAGGACTCATCCCTTATCTATTTTAGGTACCTATGCTTTAGTTAATGATTTTAGCAATGTTTAATCACTAATTTGTATCGTGTATAACAGAGAGGCAGCAGAGAGGCAGCTGGAACTGTCCTAGGGTTCTCGGGGATGTTAAAATAGGACCTGAAAACTCGGACCTGTTTCTTTTACGTTACAAGGAGCTCGGGTTTCAAGGCGGTTTATCATACCGGCCAAGAAACCACACGGGAGAATAAGGTGAAGTTGATCGAGTTGGTTGAATCTTGTAGTAAGGAATACCTTGAGGCTGTACTAGAGCATGGCAAAACTCGGGCCGACCAAGTCGACGAGAAGGATTTAGAAGTCCACCGCCAACTCCTCGTAGAGGCACCAAAGTTTTGGGGACCTCCTAAACTAGAAGATATAGAGTCATGAGATAGATAGATTGTAAATTGTAAAAAAGGACAGCGTACATTTGCTTATCCAAAAGTCTACCACTGATCGATAAGAAAGGCAATAGTCAAAACGCCGAAGCTGACTAAAGTCCTGACCACGGAGGAGCTGCTTTATGGCCCCTTAAACCTACCATTTTGCATAGCCAGTAATACCAGTATAGAGCAGATCACTCTGCCACAAATCAGACCGACACTAAATACGTCCTCCTAGAGGGACTTCTCTTGCGCAATCGCAGCCACAGGTTTTGCGGATTTTAGAGGTGTTAAACAGGAGAATCGGACTCGATTTAAAGCAAGGACTTGATTAAAGAGTGAAGGTAAGGGTCTAGAGGCTCTATATATACATAAAGAGTATGCGGTAATAGGTATGTAGTAATCGGTATAACGGGTATGCGGAAATAGCAAAATCTGACTTGTGATAGTCCAGTTTCCAACAGGAGGAGTAAAAGGGAGGATGAACGCGGCTGCGGCGACGCTACCAAATGGTAAATTTATATAGAAGCTGGCATTGGAAATCAGTAAAGCCATCTGACAATCTCAGGCGTGGTTCTACTTACCACTATTACTATCTAACCTTCTAGGCTAATGCCCCTCTAGTAATAAGTGTTGGAAACTGGATTACTACAAGTCAGATTTTGCTATTACTACATAAGTATAACAGAACTAATTTACTACCTCTTTATGTATATATAAAGCCTCTAGACCCTTACCTTTACTCTTTAATCAAGTTCTTTACAATCAAGCCTGTTTTCCTTGTTTAACAATAAGTAGTCTAACGACTAAGGCTAGCGTAAAGGTACACTTATAACTATTTTCTTAAATCTAGTAATTACTTAATAACGCCCTTTTCTAGCTTATAAAAGTACTATATTTGTCTAATTCTACCTTTTAAGTTATTATATTACTTACTTAACGCCTTTTTATATTACTCTAGCTATTATAGTAGCTTCTACTTCTTAACGCCTAATCTTTATTCTTAATAATAATTATTATTATTATTATTATTCTTACTACTTATACCTAATGTATACAGAACCTTTATACTATATAAATTACGTAGTAAAACTATACTAGAGCTAAGTAAAAACCTATGTACTACTACTTATACTTATACTATTATAGCGCTACTATTAGGTGTATTTCTATAGAGTAAAAGAGGTAAGAGTTAATAGACAGTTGTAGTATATTTAAAGGTATATTACTACTTTAACTATAGACTAATCTCTAAACTCCCTTCTTTTTACCTCTCTCTTCTCTATTCTTATACTTCTTAACGCCTACTATTACTTTAGTCGTAGTACGTAGTTACCTTATACTTGATTTCTAAGCTATTATAGTCTTACGTATTAGCGTACCTAATATAGTATCTTTTCTTTTTAGCTTTTATCCTTAAAAGCTTATAAGTAGCTATTAGATTATAAGAAGGCCGCGTTAGGCCTAGATATAGCCTTTAAATGCCCTTTCTCTAAAATAAAAGAATAAATTAGTAAATAAATATATAACTATATAACTAGTAGTATTAAGAAAAGAAGAGTAGTAACGACTTTATAGTATAGTAAAGGCGCGTAGCCTAACTATAAAATTTCTATTATATATTATACTTTTAGATCTCTACCTTATACCTCTTATATTTACTTTTAGCTAAGATACTTTATAGTAAAGTACTAGTAAGTTACTAGGTAGTTATAAGATCCTTAATACGTAGTACTAACTATATTACTTAGGCGTACTAGTATTCTTTACTCTTTAGCTACTTTTAGAAATCCTTTATTACCCTTTACTAGAAGGTTAATAGTATACTAATAGTAAGTAGTTATAGAGATTAAACTATATTACTTATAATCGTATTTTTTAAGTAAATATAAAAAAACACTTTCTTTATCTTTCTTTTACTTAGTCCTTTCTTTATAGTACTAAAGGGTATATAAAGACTTGTTTTTACTAGTTTGTTATCTTCTTTTCTTTTTTTTACCTTACATAAATATAACGCTACTATACCTTCCTTTCTTTACAACTCTTCTAATAAACTTCTAATAAACCTTAATTAAACTACTAATAATAATATAATACTAATAAAGTACTTAGTAGCTTATAAGTAATACTTAAACTAAATAGCTTTATAAGACTTATAAGGTACCTTACTAAAGTATAAGGATAACGACTATAAGTATTTCTTCCTAGTAAAGAGTAATAGCCTAATAGTATAGTAGCTATATTAGTAAAGTACGTATACTATAAGAATCTAAAGAAAGAGTATATTTTTATAAGTATAACTCTTTTTAAGGTAACGCTCTTATATTATAGCTTTGTTAACGTTACTAGGTTGTTTTAACTCTTTAAGCTAAAAGAATAGAACTTTAAAAGGTAATTATAAAAAAGGATAAGGTAAGGTAGTCTATTGTTTATAGTAAAGTTAAAGCTAATATAAATAGGCTATAATTTAGGCTACCTAAACTTTAGTAAAGAAGAGCCTTTAACATTTAAAGTCTTAGACTATAATATTAGTAAAAAAGAGGCTTTATAGTAATAAAGTAGATAAAGAAAAGCGTATAAAGTAAAAGTTAGGTTATCTAGTAAAAATTACCTATTAGTTAGAGCTTTATAATAAGTTTGTTATAACTATAAACATAAAGGTAGACTATTATAATTAGCTTATAAAAGAGGTAATATAAGTATAGTAAGACTATATTACTATCTTTAAAAAGTACGTGTCTTATTTTAAGAAAGTTATAAGTATCCTTTACTCTAATACTAAGTTACTACTAACTTAAAGGTAGTACGTGTATAATTTATAAAGATCTAAAAGAAGTAAAAAAGTAAAGGATAATATAAAAGATAATAATAGTAAAGAAAATAATAGTAAAAAGGATAGTAATAAGGACAAATAATAGACAAATAAAGGTTAAAGCGTCTTTAATAAGTAAGATTATACTTTAGATTTTTTTCTTTTTTCTTTTTCTAAGATATATAATAATAAAGTTAGTAGAGCTTTAAAGAGTATTTACTAGTAAAAGAGTAGTTTAGTGTTTTTTTTTTTTAAGATACTTAGGTTTTTAAGTTTTTATATAATAAATATAAAAGTCGTACTTACGTTACTATAACTATACTAGTAACATTATACTTTTCTAACGATTATCTTAATGTATTTGTTTGTATTTATATAAAAGTAGGCTATTATTAAGGTTTTATTATAGTTCTTATAAGTTTTCTAAATTATTATACTCTTTTTATTTTATAAGATAAAGTCTATTTCTTTATAAGCCTTTATAGTTAAGAATAGCTTTTACTTTAAATGTTTCTTTATCTAAGACTAAGATATCTATTAGGCTTATAAGGGCTTTACCTTCTTATGCCTTATAAGGTTCTAGGCTTATAATTAAAAAGGTAAGATATAGCTATACTAATAAAGAAAGGCGTAGTCTATAAGTAAGTCTATAGTCTCTAATAACGTCTTTAATTTAGTAAGGGCTAATATACTTATTTATAAATTTCTTAGAAAGTTAACGTTACCTTAAGTGTTTTATTAATAAGAGTACCTAGTCTCTCTTTTTAAATAAAATCTTTTTCTAGTTCTAGTTATACTATTTCTTATACTATTTTTAAGAATACTAAAAGAATATAATTCGTAGCGCTATTAAAGTAGTAATAGCGGCTAATATAGTAATTAGAGGCGCTAAGGTAGTAGTAACCTGCCGGCTACCTAGTAGCGACACTATCCTTACGTTTAAGAAGGCTATACTAAAGAACGTAATCTAAGATTAAGGCTAGGTATAGAGAGCGTTTAGGCTTACGGCCTAGCTCTATAAGAGTAAGTTTATAGTAATTATAAAAGGCCTACTAGTAGAACAGATTATATAAGTAAAGCTAAGAGCGTTACTAGTAAAGATCTAAGCCTATATACTACATGTTATAAAGGTTAAAGTTAAACCTGTTAAGGCCTTTATAGTAAAGTTTATAATAGTAGTACTATACCTTTAGAGTACTAACGTAGTGACGTGCCTATATAAACAAGGGTTAATCTAGTAAGCCTAGATCTTTAACTACAAGCTATATTCAGCTAACTTACAAATCTAAAGATACTTTTAATACTACTAGTTTAGCTATATTAGGCGGTTCTATAAGAACTAGGCCTAGTATAGCTACTATATAAGAGCGGTATACCCTTAGGGTAAAGAGGAGTACCCTTAACTTAATAGTAGAAAGAGATACGTTAACTATAGTAGACTATATATAGCGTAAGACTACTAGTGTCTTAAGGCCCTTAAAGTAAAGGAGTAAATACATGCCGTATATTAATAAAGGCCTAGATAGTTTAAGGTATCTAAGAGTAGCTTTACTAGCCAGGTACTTAGCGTTACGCTAGCGTCCTTATAGAATAGTAATAATAGCTACTAGATTATAGTACATAAGAGACTATAGACAGACAATAGTAAGAAGCCTATAGTAAAGACTCTAGTAAGGTAAGAGCGCCCCTTTATTAAGGCACTAGACACTATAATAATCTAGAGCTACGACATTATAGAGATATTAAGCTAAGGGGCTAACTAAGGGTCTAGCGACCCTTTTATAACGTAAGAATCGTAGATCTTAGACTCTTAGTAATAAAATTAATAATAGTATACTAGAATACTATAAAAAAGAACGGCCTTACCTTAATAGTACTTTATAATAACTATAAAGTTAACGTTATAATAATCTAAAAGCTATAGTATAATACTTAGATAAAGACAGTCTACTACCTAGTATAAGCGAAATACTAGTAGGTCTATAAAGGTAAAGGTAGAGTAGCTATCTACGTTTATAAGTAGTACCTACCTTTTACTTAAGTAGTAAAGACAGGCGTTAACTAGTATTACGTTACTTTATAAGGTATTACTATCTAGTTAATATATTTACTAATTCCTAACTCCTTAGGCTAGGCTAGCCCTTTCTAGCGGCTTACTAAAGAGGACTTAAAAGGGCTATAGATCGTTATAAGTAACATAAACCTTTATTACCTGCTCTAAGATAGAGCTAGTAAGACTACCCCTAAATTAGAGACCCTTTTTTGTCTAGCCTATAAGTAGTAGCTCTTACTACGTATACCTTAAGGAGAGCTAATATAGTAGTAACATAATAAACAAGACTTAACGATTAACTATACGTAAGTTATAGTAACGCTCTAGTATACTTATTAAGGTAACCTAGGGTATAAGGGATCTAACTACTATACCTAGTTAATTAAGGTTATTACCTAAGTAAGGGATCGCTAAGAGAGAGCTATAGAGGTACTAAGATAGAGCTAGACCTTAATAGACTAGGAACTAGTAATGATTAAGGCTAAGAGGCTCTACCTGTTAAGGACTTAAAGGGGTAGGATTAGGAATACGCGGGCCCTGTATACCTATAGGCACGCTAGGGCTATTTAGGGTTCTCGGGTAGTACACATATATCTTAGGGAGTAAGG